AAATAAATAAATATTAAAAAGTTTTTTTTCTTGGGGCGCCTGGGTGGCTCAGTCGGCTAAGCATCTGACTTCGGCTCAGGTCATGATCTCACGGTTTGTGGGTTCAAGCCCTGCATCGGGCTCTGTGCTGACAGCTAGCTCAGAGCCTGGAGCCTGCTTCAGATTCTGTGTCTCCCTCTCTCTCTGACCTTCCACTGTTCACGCTGCCTCTCTCTCTCTCTCTCTCTCTCTCTCTCTCTCAGAAATAAATAAGACATTAAAAAAATTAAAAAAAAATTTTCTTAAGTTCTAGGGGAACCTGGGTGGCTCTGTCAGTTGAGTGTTGGACTCTCAATTTCAGCTCAGGTCATGATCTCAGGATCATGGGATGGAGCCCCAAGTAGGGCTTGGTGCTGGGGGTGGAGTTTGCCTAGGATTCTCTCTCTGCCCCACCAAAATAAAAAAATAAATGAATTAAAAATTGAAAAAAAAATAAGATTAAAAGAAGTAAATTTTTCTCAGCTCTGATAATCAGTCTTGTGCAGTTGCCAGGCAACAGATGAACTTCCCTTTATCACTTTAACACTGCACCATCTCCCCTCCTGGCAATCAGAAAATACATAGGGCTAAGTTATAGTGTAACCCAGCCGTGGAAGGACTTGGTCTGATAAGGGAAGATGTGACTTTACAGTAAAGCAGCTGTAAGGCCATTTAACGTGTATCAGCGGCAGCAAGGAGAGTACCTTTGGGACTGTACCCTGAGGATGTGAACAAGGGACAAATGGAAAATACATTTGGATAAGGGAGAGTTTATTGATTTGGGAGCACTTGCCAGGAAGAGAGGGATGACTGCCCTGGTGAAGACCCTGGGAAATATGACAATCATACTTCCATGATGGCTCTTAGAGGCTTGAAGAGAGTGGTAGCCCACGTTGAGAGTAGAAATAAAATTGTCATGGCAGATGCTGGAAGCAGGGAGCAAAATGCATAGAAAAGTGGCATCCTAGAGTGGTTATACCATGTAAAGCTAGAAGCTCCACCACATGACAAAGTGCTGATTCAGATGCTCCATTTATGAAAGGGACTAAGAATTCTCTGGTGAGAGGGGTACCATCATCACTGGTGGGCCCTCCTCACTCCAAACGATGATGAAAGATGCTGTTACTGAAATAGGTTCAAAAATAACAACAAAGATAACAGAATCCTGAAACAATAGAGAACAGGTAGCAACACGTAACCATCAGAAGGGTACAACCACTTACTGAGTGGCAAGATTGGAGTGGCAGCCAGAGGCCTTGACCTTCAGAGAGCTCTAAAGATGACTGATAGAACATGACACCCTAGGGGAAAAGACAGAAGGTAGCCAATAAAAGCATACTCAATGAAAACAAAAAATCAAGGATGGATTAACACAAGACTGAGAGCAGCGGCCTCAACATAAAGTTTCAGTTTCTTCCCCTGAAGAAACTTGAGCCAGTTTGTCACTTCAGAACCCAGTGGCTGAAGGAGAGGCAGGAAGGCCAAGAGGGAGGACCCTGCAACACCACAGTGAGAATATACGGTGATGCCTTTTCCTGCACCCATCCCCCCAGCAATTCTCCAAAGAGACCTGTGGCCATTCTCTTGGGAAACCATACACTGAAGAAAAGAGAATGCCCAGACGTTTTGAAGATTGTTGGACACAATTATTATTGATACCTAGAAACCCTGATTATTATTATGGGCCCCAATTAGGGTAGAGGTATACAGGAGCCAGATAATGAATGGAGTTTTGCCCAGATCCACTGAGCACATGGGCCAACGTGGCGGTCATCTCCCCAGTCCTAAATGTATAACTGAAAAGGACATACTCGGTAGTTAGTCTAACACCCACATCGGTTCTTGGCCTATGGGATGAGTTATGAAAGTGTGAAAGGCCACAGGGAGCTTCTGAAATTGCACAGCCAATATATTAAATAAAAACAACATAGGAGAAGGGTAGAGATTAATGCCACTTTTGGTTCCCATCATATCCATTTAATTTATCGTTCGTGTCCCTGCAAAGGCCCAACAGTTCCCGGAGAACAAATAGGAGGCTGCTGCAATCGAACCAAGTCATAACCCCAACTGGAGCCGCTGAGCCACACGTAGTATCTCTACAAGAGCAGAGGAACATGCCCTCAGGGGACTGGCTTGAGGTGACTGATATGATGAATGTGTTCTTTCCCAACCTTATCAGAAAGTAAGATTAGAAAGTGTTTGCACTCACTTAGAAAAAAATAATAGAAAATATTTATGATCTTCTCCCAAGACTATGTTGTCTCTTCTACCCTCTGTCATAATATAGTCCTAAGAGCCTTGAAATGTTTGGACATCTCACAAAACACAGTGCTGGTCTACTGCATTGATGACATTATGCTAATCAAGTTAGATTGATAAAAATTGGAAGCCTTGGTGAAACATGTTTACTCCAGAAAAATAAGAAGAAAAACCCTACAAATTGTTAGGGGTCCACCAAATCAGTAAAGAATTATGAGGTCCAGAGCATAATTTTTGTGTCCTATTTAAGAAATATTTGCTGTAGGGCGCTGGGGTGGCTCACTTTGTTAAATGTCTGTGTTCGGCTCACAGCTCATGAGTTCAAGTCCTGCGTTGGGCTCTATTCTAACAGCTCAGAGCCTGGAGCCTGCTTCTGACTCTGTGTCTCCCTCTCTCTCTCTGTGTTCCTCCTCTACTTGCTATCTCTTTCTCTCTCTCTAAAGTAAATAAAAAATTCAAAAAATTAAACAAGAAATATTTGCCTATTTCTTAGTCATGTTTTCTTATAATATATTTATTATCTTACTTTCATATTTAGACTTATGATCCATCTGGAATTGATTTTTTTGTATGTGGTAAGGCAAGTGGTAAGCATTCATTTCTTCTGTAGTATTAATAAATATCCCCAAGTTCTTTTATTGAACTCCTGCCTCCAAGAAAACAACTTTCTCCATTGCTCTATAGTATCACCTTTGAAAAGTCAAATTACCTTACATCTGTGCTTCTTTCTTAGGTCTCTCTCTCTTGACCATTTGCCTATTTTCTATCTTTGTGCCAATAGAATACTGATTTAATAACTATAAAACTTTTAATCGATCTTAGTATCTGGTAGGGAAAGTACTCCAGTTTTTTTCTTTTAATTACCTTGGATATTCTCTGCCTCTGAATTTCCATATATATTTTAGAATCTGCTTATCAATTTCCTTTCAAATAATCTTCTGGAACATTACCGAAGTTGTTTTGAATCTATACATAATTTTAGGAGAAATGACATCTTAATCCATATATATGGATATAGCTGTATTTATTTAGGATTTATTTCCATTTCTGTCAATTTTTTGCAGCCAGTAACGTTTTGAATCACATGTTTTTATAGATTTATTATTAGGTATTTGATGACTTTGGGTACTATTATGATTGTCTATTTTATGTGTCATTTTCTATTTATTTTCTGGAATACAAATAAATTTTGCATATGGTCATTGTATCCAGTGACTTTATTAAATTCACTTATTAATTTAAGTTGCTGATAGATTCTTTTAGATTTTGACTGTACACAGTCATATGTCTTATGAATGTAATTTCTTCCTTTATGATTTTTATGCCTTTTCTTTTTCTCCTTTATTGCATTGGCTAGGGTATCTAATACTATGTTGAAAATAAGTGGTAATAGCAAATATGTCCTTGTATCATTCCTTATGTCAGAGGGAAACATTCAACAATTTACCTTTTTCAATGTTTTTTTTTTTTTTTTAATTTATTTCTGAGAGAGAAAGAGAGACAGAATCCAACACAGGCTTCAGGCTCTGAGCTAGCTGTCAGCACAAAGCCAGATGCGGGGCTCGAACCCACAAACAGCGAGATCATGACCCGAGCTGAAGCTGGACGCTTAACCAACTGAGCCACCCAGGTGCCCCAATAATTTAAGTATAACGTAAGCTGTAATTTTTCATAGATGCCCTTTATCAGATCAAGGATGTTCCCTCTATTTCTATTTTTCTGAGAGTCTTTTATCATGAGCAGATGTTGGATTTTATCAAATTCTTTTTTCTGCAACTACCGAGATGATCATATGATTTTTCTTTTCTTCCCTGTTATTCTGATGAGTTACATTGGAGTTTCCATCCCGTCCCTCCCCCCCCAATCCCCACCCTTACTTTTCTGGAATAAGCCTCACTTAGTTATGATTATCCATTTTATATACCAGTTGATTAAATTTGTTGATTTTGTGTTTAGGATTTTTGCATATATGTTTATAATAAAGATTGATAAACCAGCTTCATAAAGTAACATTTTTTTCCTTCTCATTACAAATGCTTTAGAAAACCAGAAATTATATGATGCGAAGGGTGCTTTAGGGGGTTTATTTTGTAATGTACAGGATGTAGAACGGATTCGTGTAGGAAAGGGGTGGTGAAGGATTAGTGGGCTACTGGAGTGTTAAGAGAAGAGCTTGGACTAGTTTGGCTCAAGTGGAAATGAAAAGGAAGCATAGACTGAGTGGTTAGCTCCTGATTAGTTAGAAGGGTAACACTGTGAAATAGACAAGTTAGGAGAAGCTGATTAAGGCTTGGAGAAGAGCAAAAATAATGAGTTGAGCTGAAGTAAAATCTTTATCTTCATCATAATTATCACCATCATTTGAATCCATACAAAGGAATGACTGCAATTTAAGAAATTGCAAATGCAATCATCGCATTTGCATGAAAGAAATCATCGCAAATGCATGAAATTACATGATTGGTTAGTATGTGAATGTTGCTTTGTAGCTAATTTTTAAAATTTCCATTCATAATCACAAAAGGTTAGATAATCTTATTTTCGTTGAACACTTTACAATGGGGTCCGAGCTTCGCAACCTAATACAGCACATTTCAATACACATTGAGCTGTTCCTTCCTTAGCCACCAGGTGGCGACTAGCAGCCTACGTCGCACTCCTGCTTCTCCCTCCTCTTCCTAGGCTGCCCAGCTCCCGGGAGCGCGCACGCCCGAGAGTCCACGCCGGTGGCGGGAGCTGTGGCCGCGCACGTCGGTCAGCTGCTGTAACGCTTCCGCACGTGGTACCCCATCCAGAGGACCCGGACCCATGTGGAAGCTGCTCCCGGTTGCGGGCCAGGCCCGAGGTAAGGGCGAAGGGAGATTCCCCCGGGACTCTTTTCCCCGGGAGCAGTTGCCGTGGGGAGAGGGGCGCCGAGGAGTGGGGCTTCCGGTCCTTCTTGTCCCTCTCCCCGCCTTCCGGCGCCGCCTTCGTCTCCGCCCCGGGAGGCTGCGGAAGCGGGGTGCGGGGACCGCGCGTACGGGGTGAGGGACCGCGGTGTCTTCCTGGGCGGCGCGGTGCTTTTGAACGCGGTTTTGCCGGGCGGTGCAGCGGCGTGGGGCTCGGGGCCTGTCCGCGGCGGCGGCGGCGTCCCGGCCCCGCCTTCCGCCTGGTGCTGGGGGCTTGGGACCAGCTCTGACCCGGCTTGCAGGCCCTGCGGAATTGCATCTTGGCTGCCCCTTGTGTCCTTCAGGCTTTTAAGCTTTGGGCGAAACACCAGAATAAGTTATCACAGGCCAGACCGCACGACGGCAACAGATGACTTTGTCTTCAGCACATTGTTTAATTTTGTGAAAAACCGGACATGACTTGGATACGTGGCAACCACAGGAATGCATAATTTCAGTTTTGTTTTTAGAGCCTTTTTTTCCTCATCAGAACTGAAAAAGTAGATTTTTTTTTTCCTGCTCTGTATTTTCAGCAGTGGCAGGTGGTTATTAGCTCCCGTTAATTGGTTACCTAGTGCGTCCGAGACCTTGTTAAGCAGATGTAGCCTGTGACCAGGCGTTTACATTATGATCCTCGAAAGATCTACCTCGAAGCGCAGTTTACTAACAGTGTAGAAAGATTAGGCCAAACGAATGATTAGGAAAACGAGTACTATCGAGACTAAAGCTCAGGGCCTCACTGTGAACTTGGAGCAGTGCTGAGGTGGAACGTAAGCTGTTGGGGGTCAAGTGCGAGTCAGTTGCTTTCCAGGAGCAGCTGTGGCCTGTGGCTGGCTCTCAGTTCCCCTAGCCAGATAGGAAGCAGTAGAAAAATGCCTCTAGCAGCAGGGGCCAGCATTCTTAACGTTTAGGGCGTTGTGAACCCTTTTCAGAATCTAATGGACACTGCGGGCCCATTCCTCTAGAAGAAAAAGTGAGTAAACCAAGGCACAGATTTTTTCCTTGAAAGAGCCCCACTCTTAAGCTAAGAGTTTCTGATGATCAAAATATGATCCAAACATGGATTCCTTGGTTCCTTTCTACTGGTGAGTTTATCCGCTTTAATTTCCCTACCACTCTGGTGATGGACTCCTGGGCTCCCATACTAAACTATACTACGCTCCAATAAGTATGCTGTTAAACCAACAATTTGTGATTTCAACATTAAAAAAAAAAAAAAACTAATAACATTTTCTCACTTGTTTGAAATGCTACCTTTAACATAAAAGCAAAATTCCTCAAAATATACACTTAAATCAGGCCTGAACTTTTGCATTGATCCATGTTGTTTACTCCTGATATCACACGTTTTAATTACTTTAGCTTTATGACATAGTTTACCATCTGGTAGGGGAAGTTCCTATAATATTCAGATTTTTCTTTACAATTTTTTGCATTAATTTCCCAGTGGATTTTTTAATCTATCAGGTTCCAGACATAGTATTGTGATTTTTATTTGGTAATGCATGATATATATGTTTATTTGAGCAAGCACTGACACTTTTCAATATTTTCTCTTTAGAAAATGCTCGAGTTTTCCATTTATTTATATAATCTTTTGGATCCTTCAGTGAGACTTTACTAGAAAAAAATAAATAAGTTTGATTTATATCAAGTTGATTATTAACATTTAAATAGCAGAATAAAAATATTTAAGTATTTTCGTACCTATATATGTGTATATTTATGTGTCTATATGTTTATTTTTTTTTTAATTCTTAGAACCATTCCGACTTTTGACCAATGTTGAGTATGTTGTTGGAAGGAAAAACTGTGGCATTCTAATTGAAGGTGATCAGTCGATCAGTCGAAATCATGCTGTGTTAACTGCTAACTTTTCTGTAACCATCCCGGTATGTTACTAATTTTATTTTACTAGCTGATAGGAAGGGGGTTGAAATTATAGGATTACTTTGGTGTCTATATAAGAGAGATTGTAGGATTTTTAATTAAATAAAGGTGTTCTTTAAATGTTAAATACTTAACATTTTGGTAGTCGTACCACTGATACTTATTTAGTTTGGTATTTGAAGTTTCTGTTCCCATGTTTTACTCTCTTGTAGTAATTTAGAAACTCAGAGAAAGTAGAACACATTTACACTTACGTAATGCGCATTAAGTACTTACTGTGTGTTTCACTGTGCCAAGCCTGACAGTAGAGCAGTGACCAGACTGTCACCCTCCTTTATTTAAAGAGTTTGTAAGCTGACAGGCATTTACTTTATAATGTAGGTTTCCACAGTGGGAATTGGTTTGTTTTATTAGGAAAAACAGCTGTTGCTTATGTCCCATAGCTCCTTTGAATGGCTTTCCGTTTGTTTTGGTTTATTAGTTATTTTAATTATAACAGTAGGTACTAAAATTATTATGTATATATGTTAACGACAGTGCTCATGATAATGCTGGTGATGATAAGAAAGAAAAACCATTATTTTGAGTAAAGACTATATGTGAAATGTTGGATCTGTTCAGTAACATTTATGCTTTGTGTCTGTATTCTTTTAAATATAGAAGAAGATTATTGTTAAAATTCCTAAAGGAAAAATAAAATTGTTACTGCAGGTCAGACACTCTAGCCTTTTCTCATTGGACCATTTTTTACTATGTTATTTTGATAATGTAAAAAAAAAAAAAAAAAACCCTTAGGAAGGAAGCTGTCATGCACGAAACAGACTATACGAAAATAAGGATTTGTCAAATGTGTGAAATTGAGGGGTCAGAAAAATCTCCACTGACTTCAGAAAATAAAATGCATGTTCAAAGAGGGGTGATCATGGAATTAAGACATTTGCCATTAATTTCTAGCTGAGTGATGATTCTATGCAGGTAACCAAAACAATAACTATTGCTTAATGTGTTGAGAAGTTAGACATCTATCAATTGCCTATTCAAAAAGTTACCAGCGTTTTATTTTGAAACCTTTTCCCCTAGGAATTGAGTAGTAAAAGTCTTTAAATTAGGTATTGATTTTTCCTCCCCAGAGTCAAACAGATGAAATTCCTATATTGACAATAAAAGATAATTCTAAGTATGGTACCTTTGTTAATGAGGAAAAAATGCAGACTGGGTTTTCCCAAGCTTTGAAGACAGGGGACAGAGTTACTTTTGGAGTGTTTGAAAGTAAATTCAGGTAAGAATTTTTTAAGTTGATACTAAAAATGGATGGCTTTGTTTTTCAGTAGTCAAATTTTAAAGGATATGGTATTTATAGATAATGAAGACCATCTTATTTAGTTCCTTCTTAGCACGTTAGTAAACTTTGCATCCTGTGTGGTTAGTGCTCTGCCCATCATAGCTAGTGCCAAGGGTGAATAAGAGTTTGAATGGTCTCTGAGGACCTTGATGGGAGCTACGTTTGTCTGATTCCATATAGATAAAAGTATAACATTAATTTTGATCATTATTTTTTTTAAGTGCAACTTAAGACTTAGGAAGTGATAATTTTATAAATTAGAAAGTTTAATAACACTTAAAAGTTAAGATAACAGCATGTGACATGAGCTTTAAGTACTAGAAGTTGCCATCTCTGGAGCTATGGTAACACAACTTTACCTACCTTATTCTCATTTACAGAGTAGAATATGAGCCTTTGGTTGCATGCTCTTCTTGTTTAGATGCTTCTGGGAAAACTGCTTTAAATCAAGCTATATTGCAACTTGGAGGACTTACTGTAAATAATTGGACAGAAGAATGTACTCATCTTGTCATGATATCAGTCAAAGTTACCATTAAAGTAGGTTGAATGCCTTGATATTATGTTAAAATAAGTTCTGTGAATTTAAGCTTACTTCCCCACTATACATAAGCCATTTACTTTAAAACTATCAGAACTGTTAGTTGTGGATTTATATATGTTAATGCATGCCTTTGTGTACCATTTAGGCTAGAATGACTTTTCAGATAACTTGTTTATTATTTGAGACAAGCAACAGCACATAAAATTATATTTCAGGTTTTGATTTGGCATTTTGAAAATGATTTCTGGTATACTTTCACCAATAAGTTTATTACAGTGCATAGTTGGTATCTTTAGTCTAAAGCAAAGTGCTGGAAGTCAACTGCCAGTCTCCAAAGTTAGCATCTCTAGTCTCTTCTATCAAATTGTCTTCCTCCAGCTCATCTCATGGTCTCATGCTCTCTTACTTAGTTTCTGTTTGGTATTTAATGCCCTAATCACAGAACTTTTAAGTTCGTACTGCTTAATATTGTCTTTATTTATCTTAACAATCTAGAGATATGTTCGTAGATATACACTATTAGAAGGTACTGACTCTTCATTAAAGCAGTGATATATTTTGGTGTGTTTTCACATTTTGCATCTTCATCAGATTCGGTTGTATCCAAAGCTAATTGAAGAATGACATTGGGAGTTGATTTGTCTCCTTTTAAACAGGTTGACTATAGATAATGTGAGGTTGCTTTAGGTTAGTATCTGTAGTGAAAAACAACACATATTTAGATTCTTTTATTAGATGATACAAATATCCATTAATATCTAATATAATTAGAATGTATATATTTTAGCTAAACAGATATCATAGAGAAAGGCTTGCTGTTCAGATTGAACCTCAAGTTAAACTTGTATGTTGGTGGGGTTATCTCTGATCAAGGATCATTCTATCTTTGCAGGTTAATGAAATCAATTTATAAATTCAGAGTGATGAACCTCCTGAGTACTACTTTCTGCTAATAAATCAGAATGTCCATTTATTAGCTTATAGTAGGGATGCACCTTTTTAGTGACTACATATTTATGTGTGACTCCCCTTAAGGATAATAAGGGGACACAGTCTTGAAGATATTAAGGTACCTGAGAAGTGAAATTTAGGTAATCATGCACTCTCTTGGTGGTTATGAAATAAGAGTAAAGGCAGTTGGAATTCCTTGAGAGGTATTGTGCTGAGTCTGTGACAGACCTGGAACTAGCATTCATTCATCAGAGTCCACACTATTCCAGTGACTGGGGTACTAATTGCAGCGGATATTAGAGAGTCTCTGGATACACACCAGCAATGACTTGTTTTAGCAGTCCTTTTCAGTACTTTTCATCAGTCATGTGCCAAAAAAGAAAACCTAGTTATTGTATTATTTTTGGGTAAATTATCCAAAAGTACAGGTTGCCTTATGTTTTTATAATCATTAAATGTCAGAACTCAAAGAAAACTTAAGAAATTTTTATTTTCTGAAGAAGAAACTAAGGCTTGACCAGTTAAAGCCCTTACCCAGGATCACATGTATTGGCGCTTACTCGGTCCAGTGTTGAATTGCACATGGCTGCTTCCTGCCAGAATTCAGTTATTTCACTCATATTTCACGTTAGTGTGCTCAGAGTTCATTCTTGAGAGGCACCCTAAGTTGCTTCCTCATATTTAAGTACTACCTCGTGTTGTTAGAAACATAGTTAGAAATTCTTCAGTTGGATTATTTCCTAAAATTACGGTGAATCTTTATATTCAGTGGTGGTGCTTTCTAATCTTTTTCAGATTTTATGGTATATTTGATGTTGATAGTTTAGTTCACTTGCTGGTTGAGGTTTCTCTACCCCCACTCTCCCTGATCTCTGTATATTTATTTTGAGCTTTTACCCCAGCTGAAACTGTTGCTTTTTTTTACTTTCTCAAAAATACTTGATTCTACAGTTATAATCTGTTCTCAAAAGGTATTAGGCAGAAAAGATCTTAAAACTCATGTTTATCTCTTAATAAGTCTTCTCGGGTAGTTGTTAGACTTACTGAATTCTATGATCTACTTTTTTACATTTAATGTCTTTTACATTGGAATACATTTTAAAATTGATTTATATTTTATGTTGTTCAACCCTTCCCAAAACAGTTTTTTTTTTTTTTTTTTTAAATGTTCATTTATTTTTTGAGAGGGAGAGGGAGCGCGAGCAGGGGAGGGGCAGAGAGAGAGGGAGACACACAATCCGGAGCAGGCTCCTGGCTCTGAGCTGTCAGCACAGAGACTGCTGCAGGGCTCGAACTCAACTGCAAGATCATGACCTGAGCCAAAGTTGGACACTTAACCAACTGAGCCACCCAGGCGCTCCCTCCCCAAAACAGTTTTTAAATTAATATTGTAATTGATGATTTCTTAAAACCAAATCATTCTATACAGATTTGTACTAAAACTAAGTTAGTGGCCAAATATTGACTTGAATTTTGTATATTGTGGCTCTTTTATAAATTTAGAGAGAGATGAAAGGAAAAACATAATAGAACAGCCTCTTTGTAGTTTCTTAAAAAAAAAAAAAAACAACTAGCACATGAGTATATGTATTCACATGTTTTCTTCTTTTCAGACAATATGTGCCCTCATTTGTGGACGTCCAATTGTAAAACCAGAATATTTTACTGAATTTCTTAAAGCAGTTGAGTCCAATAAACAGCCTCCACAAATTGAAAGGTATATCCTATATATATATATTTTTAACTTACACTGGTTTATGATATGATATGATATGATATGATAAAGGATGCTAACCAACAGCCAAATGAAGACATGCACAGGGCAAGGTATGGGGAAAGGGCAAGCAGCTTGCACGCCCTCTGCAGACACACTACCCTCCCTGTACATTCGTATGTTCACCTACGTGGAAACTCCTACATTGTGCATTGAAAATCTAATATGACATACAGAATCTGATAGTGCTGATTTTATGTAGGCTTAACATAAAATATAAAACATAAAACCTCTTTAAGACTGTTTTAGGATGTAGTGTTCAGTTTTACAAAGTTTTTTTTGTTAGTATATAAAGAAGAGTTTGTTGTTCCCGATCTCAGTGAATGAAACAAATGTTACATATATGCCAATATTTAAACCAAAAAGTTGAAGGACAGCAAATGGCACAGAGGTACAGTCAGAGGCCCGTATTCCAATGCCTGGCGTCATGCAAGCAGGACCCCCTGAATTGTGTGGGGCAGCAACGTCATTGTGTAGAGTCACGTAGTCCTGGGCTAGAATATTAATTGCACTGTGGCCTTGGGAATGGAGCTTATTTCTTCTGAGCATCAGTTACCTCCTTTGAAAAATGAGATGAATTCTTGTCCTGTAATTAAGTATTTAGTAGTGGTGTTTTTTTAAGTAACAGTATACACAGTCTGAGTATGCCCTGGCACCATAATAGGTGCTTGTTAAAAGAAATGTTCCTAATTGCAATCATGTCTGGTATGACCCATAGTAGCTTTATTACGATGATGATTTGAGATAACTGCTAAATTTGTGAACCACCAGATTAAAGGATCTATCTACTGGATATATTGTATTTCTGATGCTTTGAAGTAATATAAAGCTATGGTTGAGGAGGAAGATGTTTAGATTTTTATTTTCAGATTTCATGGTTGAATTGCTGGTGACTATTAAAATGGTGAGTGTTTTTAGTCAACTTAGCATAAGAACATGCTTGGTTAAATTTTTTTTTTTAATGTTTTTATTTATTTCTGAGAGAGAGAGACAGCGTGAGCAGGGAGGGTCAGAAAGAGAGAGGGAGACACAGAATCTGAAGCAGGCTCCAGGCTCTGAGCTGTCAGCACAGAGCCTGATGCGGGACTCAAACCCACAAACCGTGAGATCATGACCTGAGCCAAAATTGTATGCTTAACTGACTGAGCCACCCAGGTGCCCCAGAACATGTTTGGTTAAAATATATGTCGAATGATTATAACTTTTATGCCATAGTAGGTATACTTTATAAGTTCATCTGAATCTCTATAGGGTAACTTTGAATATTTGAAGCTTTAAAAATCTAAAATGTTATGTACGTTAAGAATTATATTAGTTGTAAAATATCGTTAGCTGTCATAAACTGTTTTGCCCAGTGCAGGTTTTGTGTGTGTGTGTGTGTGTGTGTGTGTGTGTGTGTGTGTGTGTGTGTCTCTGTGCGCGCGCGCATCTGTTTTAGGTACAATTTATACATAATAATGTGTGTGTGCTTTTTTTATGTATCTGCTTTTATTTATTTAAAATTTTTTTTAATGTTTTATTTATTTCTGAGAGAGACAGCATGAATAGGGGAGGGCCAGAGAGAGAAAGGGAGACACAGAATCCGAAACAGGATCCAGCTCTGAGCTAGCTGTCAGCACAGAGCCTGACGCGAGGCTTGATCCCGCAAACCGCGAAATCATGACCTGAGCCGAAGTCGGTTGCTTAACCAACTGAGCCACCCAGGTGCCCCTTTGTTATGTATCTGCTTTTAAAAGTAACTGAAAGATATTTCTCCTTGTTTTTATTTTTCACATGGGAGGTTTCTTTTATATTGAGGTTAACTCATAATGTATATTTTTGGACTCTACAAAGAGGTCCTCAGATATTAAAATAGTGTTTCTAAAACCTTTTTTGAATCCTAGGCTCCTGTGAGAGCAGGAAAACACAGTCTTTACTCTAAAAATTTCACTTACGGACTACCAACTTGCATAGTATCTCAACAGAATTACATTTTCCTCTGAAGCCTCTTCATGATCCTTCCTGTGGAAGCCAATAAATCCTATAAATAATGACCTTTGCTACAGATAATAAATGATTGTTAATTCTGCATTACTTGGGAGTAGAGGTGTCTGATAGGTTTCTACTGCTGATAATATATGATTTATGGTCTTGAGGTTTTTAGATTTAGTTGTTGATTTCTACTTACTGTTCAGACTCACTCAAGTATATTTAACCTGGATCTGTTTTTGAATGTAGGTTCCTCATAATTTTTTGCTGGCTTCAATTTATGACTGTATTAACTTAGATGACTATAATCTAACAGCTATAAGGTTATTCAGTAACTTCTAATTCATTGTTAAGCATGAAAAGCATTTATATTAGCCATGTTTGATATTGGCAACTGATGATCAAATTTCAATACTATTTTACAATGTGTAGTTTTTTGCCCTACTAGATTTGAGTACCTATTGGGATCCATTTTGATACCCATGTTGAAGTCTTATTTGACTACTCAACTGTCAAATAGAAAAAGGATTAAATTTAAATATTAAATAGGATGGGTTACAAAAGGTTTATGAAACTGTGGTGGCTCTTTAATAAAATGTAACTACCTCTTTTTTTAGTTCTGAAAAAGCATTATCACTGGATTTAAAATAAGAGATATTTTGGGGGTGTCTGGGTGGCTTGTCTTGTTAAGCATCTAACTTTTGGTTTTGGCTCAGGTCATGATTTCGTAGTTTGTGAGTTTGAGCCCTGCATTGCGCTCTGCACTGACAGCACAGAGCTTGCTTTGGTATTCTCTTTCTCTTCCTCTCTTTGCCCCTCCACCACTTGTTCCCTCCCTCCCTCCTCCTCCTCCTCCTCTCTCTGTCTCAAAATAAATAAATAAACTTTGAAAAAAAAATAGAATAAGAGGTATATTTTTAACCTAACAAAAAGTACAATTCTGTTTAGTGCGGTTATATCTTCATCTTTGCTCTGTTACCAAGAGACAGGGTAAGACAGAATTTAACCTTCATGTGCCTGACATGTTTTGTGAGATCTCATTTGCCTATATTGTCATCAAAATACTAATGTTGATGAAGTCACTTTTAGAAGACTCCATCTAAAAGTATTGAATTTTGATAATTTATACTTTATTAAAGGAAGTTCATTAAAATAATTGTGTATTTTCTGAGTGTAAAGAGATATCCCTTAGAAAAGAGGAGTTACCTTTTATTTGAAATTTTAGTCTTATATTGTGCACTGCTCTTTCAGTTACTGTAGTTCAAATAACAAGCATTCTCTTTGGGAAAACACCGTTGGGAGAAAATTAGTATATGCATTTATACGCAAGTTGCTGAATGTGCTGAGATAACAAGGCCTGACCACCCTATATACCCGGGTCATTTCTCCTGGTTTGCAGTGAGAAGCCTTGAGGAAGAGGTAATGTCCCTCCAGGCACAAAGAACAGGCCTCCTAATAGCTTGCTATGAAACTCAGTGGATTCTTAAGTTCAGTGTTTCTCTCTCCTGTAACACTACCTACTGTTTGTGCCTTTTATACCATGCCCACGGGACTGGTCAGGGAGGAGATCTGCCACAAGTTCGGTGAGGCTTGCCGCTCACTTTGTCTCTGACCCAGGAGTCTTGTGTCTTCTGCCCACATCCAAGAAACAGGAACAGGCTCTTGGCTTGTAATCAGATATGAGACCCAAGAAACACATTAGTCTGAAACAATCTTAGCTTAAGAAGTTTATGGAGTTGACTGTATGTAATCAATCAAAATTCAAGGCAAAGAAATTTAACATATAGCAGAAATTTTTTACTGGCAATATAACCTCACATTTACAAGGTGTGGATGTCAGTGTAATTCAGGCCTTTTAAAGATCACCAAAAGAAAGCAGTATAGTAAGTTCTTATACAAATCATAAACATGCCCACAGGACTAATGAGATAGCAAGCTATCCAGATGTTGGGCAAATGAACATTGTGGCTTGAAATACAGTTTCTTTGGCCGGAATTCTATGTGAATTGAGAAAAATTATGTATTTGGATAATCTTGAGACAAATGAAGATGATGTGCTTTGAATTAGATGAAATTTATTGAAGTAAATGTAAAGAATTTAAAAAGAAAAAAATGTGCATAGGAAAAGTCAGTATTTCTGATTAATACTTTATAGAATTTGTGAATTATATGTAATAGTTACTATATAATAAAACATAATCATTTGTAGCTTTTGAAGTTTCTATATAAGTGAGCCAAAAATTGTTTTAATTTTTTCATTATAGAAAATGGGAGATTGCATTTGTGGTAGCCTAGTAGTCAGGCAGTGTGCTTCTAACCTTGGTCTTTGCCAAGTTAATTAGTTCTTACTAACTGTCAAACCACTGTAACCTCAGAAATGCTTTAAAACTTCTAGAATGTATTGCTTCACAAATACTGATGTTTAGTGATGTTTTCTCACATTTATTGTTAGTTTCCTTTCTTGTTCTCATCCTTACGTTATTAAGAGAAAAAGACTTGTCTGAGTGTATAAAGTTCAGAACATAGTGTATTATTTATCACTGTGTTATCAATTATTTATACATATATACATATATATCGTATGCATACACATATATGTATATATATGACTCCAACATTTGGTTAGATTCTTCACAATACAGTAATGTATTTTTTTTTAAGATCAGACTTAGTGGCTCAAATTTACCAGTGTTTTTAAAAGAAAACCAAAATACATTTTTTTCAGTACCAGAATGTTATTTTATTATTTTTTTAATGTTTATTTTTGAGAGCAAGAGAGAGTGCAGTTGAGGGAGGGGCAGAGAGGGAAGGACACAGAATCCAAAGCAGGCTCCTTGCTGTCAGCACAGAGCCCGACATAGGGCTTGAACCCACAAACCATGAGCCCATGAGCTGAGCCACCATAAGATACTCAACCGACCGAGTCACCCAGGTACCCCGTCAGTCCCAGAATCTTAATGGTCAAGTCTATATATTGAGGGATGTTTATACTTTTAATTTATTAGATGAAGTTTTAATTTAGATCTTGCACTATCAGTTTATTTATTAACAGATATTCCTGAATGCCTACCACAAATTAAGCAAGATAGACCTGAGGATATAGTGATGAGCCAAAAAGCATTACAGTTTCTGCCTTCATGGCACTTGGTAGAAGAGCCAGACGTTGAAAAAATCATGCACGTTAAAGTTAGAACTCTGGTGGGACCATCCAGGAAACCAAAGGGTAGGTATATCTTGCTCCTGTCTTTAGGAACCTGGTTCACGGTTTAACAAATGTTCACTCCTTTTTTTGTTATTTGTTTGCTTAATGTTTAATTTTGAGAGACAGAGAAAGAGCTTGAGCAGGGGAGGGGCAGAGAGAGAAAATCCCAAGCAGGCTCCACCCTTTCAGCACAGAACCCCACAGGAGGCTCCAACTCATGAACTGTGAGATTATGACCTGAGCCAAAACCAAAAGATGGATGCATAACGGACTGACCCACCCAGGTGCTCCAACAAATGTTCACTCGGTTGAACTAAACTACAGTTAACTGATCTCTGGGTAAAATAAACCACTCTTTGTGGCAGAATTAAGAAAGACAGTATGAGGGCGCCTGGGTGGCTCAGTCGGTTAAACTTCCGACTTCAGCTCCGGTCATAATCTTACGGTTCATGGGTTCAAGCCCTGCGTCAGGCTCTGTGCTGATAGCTAGCTCAGAGCCTGGAGCCTGTTTCAGATTCTGTATCTCCCTCCCTCTCTGACCCTCCCCTGTTCATGCTGTCTCTCTTTCTCTCTCACAGAAATAAAAAAAAAAAAAAAAAAAAAAAGACAGTATGAATAACACAATGGTGTAGATAATTTAAAAATCATTTTAGTGTCATTGGAAAGCTGTAAGACTCGCACACCTCCTCAGTCATATGTATGTGTTAAATGTACATACCACTTTTGCCTGGGTATGGCTCCATCATCCAGTGTACATTACTGTGTACACTCATTTGTAAACTAGCCATTTGTGTATAAGTGAAGTCTTAGTTGCCTTTCACGCTGAAAGAAGAGTGAAATATGGGAGAATTCTCGTTAAAAGGGAGAAGATAAAAGGCATATTAAAAATTTATCCTAGGGGCACCTGGGGATCAGTCAGTTAAGTGTCTGACTCTTGGTCTCAGCTCAGATCTTAATCCCAAGGTGTGATTTCAAGCCTCATGTTGGGCTCCATGCTGGGGATAAAGCCTACTTAAAAAAAAGAAAAAAAAATTTATCTTCTGAATTAGATAGAATACTAATTTTCTAGCATTATTTTCTTACTGTAGATTTAATTTTAACAGTTAAAATAGTTTTCACTATTCTCAGTATAACTTTAAAAGTAAATAAATAGAATCTTAAAATCCTTTGTTTAGAAAAATCAGAATAATGCAATGGGCTCCATTTTATCCTGTTGACTAAGTCAGCTGTTGCCTGTAGATAGCTCATTTATTTGAGATTGCAAGTTCTAGGAATCACTATTTTAGAATATATGTACAACATCCGTTGTAGCAGGTTGAAACATGTGCATTTGTAGTTTTAATCAGTTATCAGAATTAAAAAAAAATTGCTTAATCATGACTTAGCTGTCTTTGTGAAATATGTATGTGGCCAAGGAAAAAACTATGGGACGAAAAAAATGTAAAGAAGGGATGGCGAGGGGTCACCTGGGTGGCTCAGCGGTTAAATGTCCGACTTCGGCCCAGGTCTTACAGTTCATGAGCACGAGCCCCTCATTGGGCTCTGCACTGAGAGCTCAGACCCTGGAACCTGCTTGGGATTCTGTGTCTCCCTCCCCTCCCCACCCCCAACCTTCCTTTGATCACGCTGTTTCTCAAAACTAAACATTAAAAAAATTTTTCTTTTAATGTGGGATGGTGACTCTCATGACCAAAGTATTTTTACCACATTGGCTGTTTGCTCTCTGCAGATGGTTAACTCTTGATTGTGTAGTGACTAATTGTGCAGTTTAGGAATTTCCCGTCCTGCATTGTCTCCTTATGATCACCATGCTGTGTTGGTAATTTTTTTTTAATTTAAGGTTTTATTTTTATTTAAAACAGTTTTAGGTTCATAGCAAAATTGAGAGGCAGCTACAGAGGTTTCCCACATACACATGCAGTGTCTCCTCCGTTAAGAGTATTCCCCATCAGGGGCGCCTGGGTGGCTTAGTCGGTTAAGCGTCCGACTTTCGCTTAGGTCATGATCTCGCAGTTCGTGAGTTCGGGCCCCGTATCGGGCTCTGTGCTGACTGCCAGCTCAGAGCCTAGAGCCTGTTTCAGAGTCTGTGTCTCCCTCTCTCTCTGACCCTCCCCTGCTCACGCTGTCTCTCTCTCTCTCTCCTAGAAATAAAAATTAAAAAATTAAAAAAAAAAAAATAGTATTCCCCATCAAAGTGGCACATGTGTTAAAGTTGACGAGCTTACATTGACACATCATAATCACCCAAAGTCCACAGTTTACATTAGGGTTTACTCTTGGTGTTGTTCGTGTGGTGGGTTTGGATAAATGTGTAATGACATGTATCTGTCGTTATAGCGTCATAGTGTTTTCATTGCCCTGAAAACGGTCATTGTTCCCGCTCCCCCAGCTCCCAGCCACCACTGATCTTTTACTGTCTCTGTAGTTCTGCCTTTTACAAAATGTCATACAGTTGGAATAAAATAGTAGGTAGCCCTTTCATAATGCCTTTTTTTCACTTAGTAATATGCATTTAAAGTTTTTTCATATCTAGGTTGCTCATTCCTTTCTAGTGCTGAATAGTATTCCATTGTTTGAATGTACTACGGTTATTTATCCATTCACCTACTGAAGCACATCTTGGTTGCTTCCAAGTTACGGTAATTAAGAATAAAGCTGCATCAGGGGACCTGGGTGGCTTCGTCGGTTAAGCATCCAATTCCTGGTTTTGGCTCAGGTCACGATCTCATGGTTTGTGAGTTCAGGCCCCACATTGGGTTCTGTGCTGACGGTGCAGAGCCTGCTTGAGATTCTCTCTCTTTTCTCATTGTCCCTACCCCACTTGTGCAGGCACATGCACACTCCCTTTCTCTCAAAATAAAGTTAAAAATAAAAAAAGAAATAAAGCTGCTCTTGACATTCATGTGTAGGTTTTTGTATGGACATAAGTTTTCAGCTCTTTTGGATAAATACCAGGGAATGTGATTGCTGCATCATACAGTAAGGATGGGTTTAGTTTTTGAGAGAAAGTGCCAAACTGTCTTCCAAAGTGACTTTGCCATTTTGCATTCCCAACAGCAATGAATGAAAGTTCCTGTCACTCCATGTCCTCATGAGCTTTTGGTGGTGTTTGTGTTCTGGGTTTTGGCCATTCTCATATGTGGGTAATAGGATCTCATTGCTGCTCTGATTTGCATTTCCCTGGTAACATTATGTTGAGCATCTCATGATTATTTGCTACCTGTATATTTCCTTGGTGAGGTAGCTGTTAAGATTTTGGCTCATTTTTTAAATCAGGTTGTTCTTACTGTTGAGTTTTGAGAGTTCTTTGTATATTTTGGATAACATTCCTTTATCTGATGTGTCTTATGCCGATATTTTCTCCCAGTTACTGGTTTTGTCGTCCATTTTCTTGACATTGCCTTTCAGAGAGCAGAAATTTTAAATTTTAATGAAGTCTAGCTTATCAATTATTTCATTCATAGATCATGTCTGATGTTGTATCTAAAAAGTCATTGCCATAACTAAGGCCATCTGTATTTTCTCCTATGTTATTTTCTAGTAGCTTTATTTTTATATTTCGGTCTGTGATCCATTTTGAGTTAATTTTGTGAAGACTGTAGGGCCTGAGTCTGGATTTGGTTTATTTGCACATGAATGTCTAGTATCATCTTTTGTTGGAAAGACTGAGCTTGGGGCACCTGAGGTGCTCAGTCAGTTTAGCGTCCACCTTCGGCTCCGGTCATGATTTAGGGGTTCACGAGTTAGAGCCCTGCTTTGGGCTCTGTGCTAACAGCTCAGAGCCTGGAGCCTGCTTCATATTCTGTATCTCCCTCTCTCTCTGCCCCTCTCCTGCCCATTCTCTCTCCTCTCTCTCCTTCTCTCTCAAAATAAATTTTAAAAACATTAAAAAAAAAAAAAAGACAGCTCCTGTACTGTCTTTGTTCCTTGTCAAAGATCAGTTGAGTAGATTTATGTGAGCTTGTTTCTGGATTCTCTATTCTATTTGGTCTATTTTTTTCATAATACCAGACTCTCTTGATTACTGTAGGTTTATAGTAAATCTTGAATTCGGGTAGTATTAGTACTCCAACTTTGTTCCTCCTTAAAATTGTGTTGGGCATTCTGAATCTTGTGCCTCTCCATGTAAATTTTAGAATCAGTTTGTCAGTATCCACAAAATAACTTGCTGGGAGGTTTTTTTGGATTATATTTAATTTATAGATCAAGTTGGAAGAACTAATATCTTGACAATATTGAGTCATCTTATGAATATTAGTAATGGGTAATTTTTACTTGAAGGTAGATAAGCTGAAAGGCTGGTAATTTGGCTTTAAAACACATTGGTTCCCAGGAAACACGAGATGCCAATAGAATTTGATCTTTATGGACAGTGTCTTTTTCAACCTTTTGTAATTCACATAACTTGTTTGATTCATGTGTATTAAATTGTATTTTATGACTGTCTACCCTTGGAATGTATTTCTTCAGAAAATATGGAACAGTTCTGCTATTTTATGTGGCATGTGTCACAATTTTTCTAGATGTTTTTTGTCTTTTCGTCCCAGATAAAACTTAAAAAAAATAATTTAATGGTGTTACAGAAATTAAACCTTTCTCATGTCTAGATAGCCAATCTGCTTACAAATGTAACAGTACACATACAGAAGAGTATATAATTAGAATACGCTTTAAAATATTTTTCACAGCTTTTACCCCCCTGTTGATGAACCAGCTATTGGAAATAAAAACATTGATCTGTCAGGACGACAGGAGAGAAAAAAAATCTTCAAAGGGAAAACATTTGTATTTCTAAATGCCAAACAGGTAATGTTATGGGCTAAATTTTCCTGAAGAAAATGTTACAAACTAGGATAAATTAATACTGTTAACAGTAGTTAATGCTTTTTTTTTTTTTCTATTTTTTTTAAGATTCTGTATAGAAGTGCGAAGTGAAAATAAAAACTGCCCAGGCACCAGAACTTTCCCAGTGTTGTTGTATATGGTTATGGTATTTCTTGACATATATTAATTGGATAACTAAGATTATATTTATATATAAGTAGGGGAGTGGGGACAGAAAACTGATTTAAGTCCTTGTATGGTTAGTTAGTAAAAGGCTGTTGAATGTTTTCTACGTGCCACAGTGGGTATTCAGGGAGTTTAAGTTGTAGGTGGAAAAATGCAAGCAAACTCACAGTAAGAGCACTGTGAATTAAGCATAATAAAGAAGTATGGGGCGCCTGGGTGGCTTAGTCGGTTAAGCGTCCGACTTTCGCTTGGGTCATGATCTCGCGGTTCGTGGGTTCGAGCCCTGCGTCGGGCTCTGTGCTGACTGCCAGCTCAGAGCCTGGAGCCTGTTTCAGAGTCTGTCACTCCCTCTCACTGACCCTCCCCTGCTCACGCTGTCTCTCTCTCTCTCCTAGAAATAAATAAATAAAAAACATTAAAAAAAATAAAAAAATTAAAAAAAAAGAAGTATAAAGAGGGTAACAATTCCATGGCTGAAGAGATACCTGGGAAACTAGGGATTTTCTAAGTGGGAGCTCAGATTGTCTTCTCAAAAAATAGAACCAATTGTACTTTTATGTTACTTCCCTAATAGAGATGAATAAAGAAAATGTATATACATACAGATATGTGTGTGTGTATATATATGTACAATGGAATATTAGCCATAAAAAAAGGAATGAAATCTTGCCCCTGGCAACAACATGGATAGATCTAGAGTATAATGCTAAGCAAAATAAGTTGGTCAGAGAAAGACAAATACCTTATCATTTCATTCATGTGTGAAATTTTAGAAACCAAACAAAAGAGCAAATAAAAAAAAAAAAGACAAACCAAGGAACAGATTCTTAACTATAGAGCACAAAGTGATGGTCACCAGAGGGGAGGAGGTGGGGGTGACATAGGTGATGGAGGACTAAGGAGTGTACTTGCCATGAGGAGTACTGAGTGGTGCATGGATCACGTACACCTGAAACTGACATAACAGTGCTAACTATACTAGAATTAAAATGAATTTAAAAAAAGAATGTACGTAATGAATTGTGGCTATTTCATTACTTTTTTCTATTTCCATTTTTAGCATAAAAAGTTAAGTTCAGCAGTTGTTTTTGGAGGAGGAGATGCTAGATTGATAACAGAAGAAAATGAAGAAGAAGAAAATTTCTTTACAGCTCCTGGAATTTGTGTTGTTGATGTAGGAATAACAAATTCACAAACTCCAATTCCTGACTCTCAGAAAACATGGATTCACTCAATTATGGATATGCTCCAAAGGTACAGAATGATTCTTTAAAAAAAAAAAAAAAAAAAAAAAAAAAAAGCAATTTTATCTGTAACTTGAAAATTTATTGTAGCTTAGTATGCTAGAAACAATATCTTTATAACAAAACTCAATTTTCTGAAATTGCCTAGAACTGAAATGTATTTGTTCTTTGGTGATTATTACCCATTAAGAATGCATCTAAAATTTTTAAGCCCTGTCATATACGCTATCATGCAAAAGCAAAAAAAAAAAAATGCTATATATCCAGTAATAGGATTTTTAGTGGGAAGAGAGGGTGTGAAAGAGATAAACAAAGGATTTTTTCCTAAACTCTTTATTGGTATTCATGATCTTAGCATTATTGAAGCTTAAAAGTATTGTTTAAAAGTGTCAGGCTTGGCAGTCTGCTGACCAAATTTCTATTTACCTATCAAAAAGTAGTTACGATGTAGGATATTTCTATGCCTAAAAAGTCCATGGCTACTCCCTACAGTATTCATTTTTCCTGTCCCAATAGTCCTTCTGACCACTGGGATTGCTCTTATTTATATATTTGCTGAAACAGAAAGTTAATATTTCAGTCATCTGTCCCGTAAGTATTTTACTTAATGGAGATGTATTTAACGGCTACAAAAAGAAAATACCTGTATAAAAAAGGTGATGTCTTACTATCACATCTAGAATTTACTATTGTTCTCTTATGTGTTAGGCAGTGGGAATATAGTGGTAAACAAGTTAGCTGTGGTCCCTGCCACCATTGGAGCTTACTGTCTAGAGAGAAAGCCCGATTAAGACAGACAAACAGATAATTACAAATATGTATAAAGGAAGTGGAATAACAGGGGAAGGGGAAGAAGTGTATTCTAAATAGAATAAAGAAAAGAAGGCCTCTTTTACAGAATGTTTTACCTATGACCCGTCTTTGAAAGAGCCAGGCAAAACAATAGCAGTAAAAGCTATGCTTACAGAATACCGTATAACAGGTCCCGTTCTAAGAGTTTTATGTATATAAAGACATTTCATTCTCACACAACTCTGTGTGTTATTTTCTGTTATGGTACCCATTGTACGGATAAGACAAAAGGGGTAGAACACAGGGTGTGAGCCAGAGCCAGGATGTGAACTCCGGCAGTCTGGTTACAGAGTCCATGCTCTTCACCCCTACATCTCACTGCCTTTCAGCATATACTGTGACCACAAGGTAAGGAAGTAGCTAGAGCACAGAGTTGACCAGAGGCTGGTGCCTTCATCATACGGTGACATTTGGCCCTATTACAGTTTGTTTTTGGAGGGAAGGCAGTTTTATAGTTTGAGAAAGACTGTCACTTAAGGTAACATGTGTCCACTTAGTCCAGACTAGATAGTCATTGAAAGTGCAGTTAGATCAGGCAAGTGGCCAGTAAAGCCAGCTATTAACTGAATTTCAGACAACAAGGTAGCATTGCGATTCACTACTGCCATAGTTATATTGATTAGTTGTGAAAAGTGGGTATTGGATAAAAGTTAAATTAACATCTTGTGAAGAAAATTTAAAAGTCTAAGGGAAATGATTTTTATCCTTGCTAAGATATTTTCCCAGTGTCTTAGCTCAAATTTGGGAACTCTTCCTGTTACTAATTTAGTTATCTTCTCTTTATCCTTTTGCTCTCTTCACCTGTTGCACAGTTTTGCGCAAAATTGGGTTAATCATAATCTTCGGTTCATGATACACTGTTATTATAGAATCATAACTAACACACATTAATTTTGTTCATTAGTTAAGTAGTTATTAATTTAAAAAAATGTTTTTAATGTTTATTTAAACACGGGGCTCAAACCCACAAACCACAAGATCATGACCTGAGCCGAAGTCAGACACTTAACCGACTGAGCCACCCAGGTGCCTCAGTAATTATTTTAAATTATATAATACATGTCTAGGAATTTGCCCTGCAAAATACAAGCTAGGTACTTGAAAATAACCTGCCTTTAACAGTATGATACACATAGCCCAGTTTCCCCCTTACATGGGATAACTATCTTCCTGAATCCTTTGCTCATCATTTTATATACAGTTTTATTGTTTCTTCATGTATTCCTAAAATACGTGTATGTTTTAGTTGATTTAACTGATAACCTGGTCCTCATAGTGCATGTAATCTTTGGGGATTTTTCTCACTTGACATGTTGCTGATAAGAATTCACTCATTTTGTTGCATGTTGCTGTCATTTGTTTCATTGTGTGAATATACCACAGTTCATACATTTACTACACATGGAAAAATATCTTATTTCCGGGTTTATTTTTGTAAACATTGCTACTAAGATCATGTTTGTATATTTCCTGGTGGTTCTTTTTTTTTTTTTATATTTTATTTATTTCTAGGATAGAGAGAGACAGCGTGAGCAGGGGAGAGTCAGAGAGAGAGGGAGATACAGACTCTGAAACAGGCTCCAGGCTCTGAGCTGGCAGTCAGCACAGAGCCCGACGCGGGGCTCGAACCCACGAACCGCGAGATCATGACCCAAGCGAAAGTCGGACGCTTAACCGACTAAGCCACCCAGGCGCCCCTCCTGGTGGTTCTTATGCAGGATTTTCTTTGGAGAATATTTTTAGGGTTAGGACTACTGGGTCATGGGTCATGCAAACACTCAGCCTCTAGGGGTGGTATTTTTCCACTTTATACTTCCATAGTATATAAGAGATCAAGTAGATGCACATTGTTCTTTTTTTAATGTTTTTATTTTTATTTTTGAGAGGGAGAGAGACAGACAGTGCAAGCAGGGGAAGGGCAGAGAGAGAGAGGGAGACACAGAATCTGAAGCAGACTCCAGGCTCTGAGCTGTCAGCACAGAGCCTGATGTGGGGCTTGAACCCACGAACCTCGAGTTCATGACCTGAGCCAAAGTTGGGGGCTTAACTGACAGCCACCCAGGCGCCCCATACATGTTGTTCTTAACACTTGGTATCGTTAGACTTTACCATTTTGTTAATTGAATGGATATATATATATAAAACTGTATATATATATATTCATGTCTTAGGATTTTGATTTCTATTTTTCTCATCACCGGTGATGCCGAACATTTCTTCTAATGTTTATTGGACATCTGTCTTTCCTATTATGAAATAGCTATTCATGTCTTTTACCTCATTTCCTATGGCTTTTTTGTTTAAATACAGATTTCTCAGTTGAGGTGTGTGTGCATGTTTTAGTTCTATACAATTTTATCACACTTGTAGGTTCATATATCCACCACCTTAGTCAAGACACAGAATAGTTCCATCACCGCAAGGATTCCTCCTGTTGTTCTTTTATAACCACACCCACTTCCCTCCCTCCCTCTCTCCCTCCTCACTTTCCACTCCCTGTTCGCAAATCCTGGCAAACCACTAACTTACTCTCCATTTCTAAAATTTTGTCTTTTAAAGGAATGTTATATGAATGAAGTCATATAGCCTATACCATTTAGGACTGGGTTTCTCATTCAGCATAATTCCTTGGAGATCCATCTAAGTTGTGTGTATCAGTCATTCGTCCTTTTTTATTGCTCAGTAGTATTATGTATAAATCTGTGTGTATACTACAGTTTGTTGAGACATTCTCCCATTGAAGGACATCTGCATTTTTCCAGTTTTTGTCTTAAATGAAACCGCTATAACCATACATGTACAAGTTTCTTTTGAATATAAGTTTTCATTTCTTTGGGATAAATGCCCAAGAGTGCAATTCCTTGATCATGTGGTAATTGCATATTTGTGTGCTTTTCTTTTTTATTTGTAGAAGTTCTTTATATTTCTCAATATTATTCCTTTTTTCAGTAGTATGTATTGCAGAATCTTTTACCACTTTGTCATTAGCGTTTTACAGGTGATACATGAAAGCCCTTAATTTTAATATACTAAAAATTACACCTTTTCTTTCTTAGTGCTTTTTGTATTTTAAGAAATCTTTCTATTCTTAAATTAAAAAGCTATTCACCTCTGCTTTTTACTAAGTTGTTGCTATTATCTTGATATTTTGGTTTTGAAATTTGTTTTTAATCTATCTGGAATTGATTCTGTTTATACCAAAGTTGCATACGTGCATAGGAATGCTTTTGGCTTTATTCAGCTGGTCAGTATGTCTGTTCTTGTACCAACACCACATTTACCACATTGTCTTAATTACTGTAGCTTTAATTAGGTCTTCATAATCTACTATGGCAAATCTTTCTGCTCTTCATTAGAAACATCCTGTCCATTCTTTGCTCTGTATTTTTCCATATACATTTTGAGTCATCTTTTCAAAAACCTTGTTGGGATTTTGATTAGGAATGACATTGAATTTATAAATCAGTTTGGGGAGAATTAACAATGTTTATATTTCCCTGTATACCTCATGAGTGCCTTTTATTAGATTTATTCCTCAGTACTACATATTTTTTGGTAGGTGTTATGTGTCTGGTAGGTAGAATATAAATGTTATCTCTACATTTTCTATTATAAGTTCAATAGTCATTTATTTTTTTTTAAATGTTTTTTTATTAATTTCTAGGAGAGAGAGAGAGACAGCATGAGCAGGGGAGGGTCAGAGAGAGAGGGACTGACAGACTCTGAAACAGACTCCAGGCTCTGAGCTGGCAGTCAGCTCAGAGCCCGACGCAGGGCTTGAACCCAAGAACCGCGAGATCATGACCTAAGCGAAAGTCGGACGCTTAACCGACTAAGCCACCCAGGCGCCCCAATAGTCATTTAAATATTAATCTTATAACCTGTTACCTTTGTTAGTCTCCTCTTTAATTTCTAATGTATCTGCAATTCTATTTTTTTAATCCTTATCTATAAATAATGTTTCTGCTTTGGTTTTTAATCCTTATACCTCTGATACTTGTCTCCTTTTCTGTCTTTCTGTTTCATACCTACTGGAACCTCTAGAGTAGTAGTGTTGAATAGAATTAGTAGTAGTAGCCACATTTATCTCACTATTGACTTTAAGAGGATTGTGTTTCCCCGCTTAGGATGATACAGTATCTGTGTAACATTATTAATTACATGTTAAAAATGTTTTTATTTTATGGAGCTAAACTTTATAACTAATTTACGTAATATAATTTATTATAGTTTGAAAAAAGTAGGGTAATAAAATACCAATTTTGAATTACCTGAATTATACATATATGGGATCACTTGATTATAATACTTTATTTTTAAAATTTTTTTATTTTCAAAAAATTATTATTTTGAGAAAGAGAGTGTATGCCTGCAGAGGAGGGGCAGAGAGAGAATCCTAGGCAGGCTCCACACTGTCAGCACACAGCCCAACACAGAGCTCAGTCTCACAAACCATGACATCATGACCAAGCCTAAACCAGGAGTCAGATGCTTAACTGACCGAGCCACCCAGACACCCCTTTAAAAATATTTTTTAGGGGCGCCTGGGTGGCTCAGTTGGTTAAGCCTCCGACTTCGGCTCAGATCATGATCTCACGGTTCATGGGTTCGAGCCCCACATCAGGCTCTGTGCTGACAGCCAGCTCAGAGCTTGGAACCTGTTTCGGATTCTGTGTCTCCCTCTCTCTGACCCTCCCCTGCTCATGCTGTGTGTGTCTCTCTCTCTCTAGCTCAGAAATAAATAAAAACTTTAAAAAGACTTTATTTTTTTTTTTTATTAATTTCTAGGAGAGAGAGAGAAAAAAGACTTTAAAAATATTTTTTAATATAATACTATCATAATTGCACATACGGTTGAATTTTATTTACGTAAACCGAAAACATAGAAAAACAAATAAGCATTTGAAAAAGACCTTTTAAACTACAACCACTTAAACATCTTTACAATAAGCATTTAGAGGAGTTTTATAGTTCTTAAAGTCTGAGGTATAGTTTCTATATGGCAGTTACTGTTTCATTCACATAGAAAACAGAAGGTAGGTTCAGTGTACAATTCCTTTAATAAGATTCCTTAATACATATAAATTTGCTAAAATAATTTTATTTACTAAACTTAAAATTATAAAACATACATAGATACAGCTTACAATTGTTCTTTATACTTTTCTCTCTCCATCCCTGTCTACTCTTTTCTGTCTCTTAAGTTTGGATCCTAGTATTAGGTTTGCTTACAAAATTTATTTTATTGCTTCATTGGGGTATTACAGTTTTTTTGTTTTTTGTTTTTATTCTGAAAATTACAGGATTTCAGAACTGGAACTCTATATCCTTTACTCTAGGCCTTTATTTTACAGATGAAATAACTGAGTTGCTAAAAGGTGGTGGACTTGCCCAATGTAGCATTGCCCCAGTTCATTAGGACAGTACTCAGTGTATTTGAAATTGTCTCCATACCATAAAATTGTGATACCTCTTTGAGGAAGGAATAAAAAGATTCAACTTGGCATCATTTTAAGAAGAGTTGTTAGTTTTAATATATTATCATACTTTATTTTATTTTCATAGGCAAGGTCTTAGATCTATTCCTGAAGCAGAAATTGGATTGGCAGTCATTTTCATGACTACAGAGAATTACTGTGATCCTCGGGGCCAGCCAAGTACAGGTAATTAAAGCATTATTTTCTTGATTTTTTTTAACAACTTTGTTCATAATTTGATGATAGGCTGTACTTATCAGGGATGACCATTTTCATCATCTTTTAAAACTCATCTATCCATTCATTTATTTATTTGATAAATATTTGTGGTTGCCATGTACTGGGCACTGTTTCTAAGTGCTGAGGATACAGTGGTGAATAGAGTAAAACAGGATCTCTGTTCTTGTGAACTTTATATTCTAAAGGTCAGGATTCAGTTAATAGGCCGAGTATAAAGAGAAAGCTAAAACAAGACCTGAAATTCTCTCTCTTCAGCTTCGTCTCACGAGGTCTGCTGCCATTCCTTCTCACAGTCAGTGTTCCATTTGAACCTTCTGTGGTCTGATTTTCCTGAGGGCTGTTACAGTTGCACCCAGTGATGGTCCTGTCTTCATACCCATCTCTACAGTTAATGTTTCACTTTGCCAATAGAATCACCTTTTTTCTTAAACCTTTTACTAGCTCATTATTTATGAAATAAAACCCTGAGCCTTCATCTAGAGTTCTGAGCCCTCAGCAGTTTAGCTAATAAAGCCTTTCTCCAATCCTCATCTTTTTAAAAGTACATCTCCCTACAGTATGTATATATGTGCCGTATTGTTAATAGTTTCCATGCTTCTTGGTCTTGCTCATCATAGTTCCTGTTCTAGAATGTCAATACTGCTCTTCAAAATTCGATTTATTCTGTAAATACTTACCTCCTTCATGAAGTTTTTCTAAGTTTTTTTCTCTCCCATAACTCTCCGAATCAGAATTACTGCGTCTTCTATACCCCAGTAGCTTTTTTGCAGTCCGGTTGGAGTTTCTTCTTACTTTGAAATGTAACCAGTTGTTTTCATGTCTCTTTTAGCCACTAGATTAAGTATAATCCCTTACTAATCTTGGGTTCCCTGACAGCACCAAGCATAGTACTTGTTTGTACTAGGTATGAATATTTGCTTAATTAAACTAAATTATTGGTACACAGGATTATTTTTGCCAGTGTGGAGCAACAAAGTTTTATCATCCACTGTTGGAAATGTGTTATGGCCAAAAGGGCCTTAGAGATCATCTAATCTGTCTTTCTGTCAAAAGGTAAGAGAGCTCTCAAGGCTGAGAAAAGTTAAGGTTCCATAAGCACTTCATGGCCAGCCCAATCCTAAAGTGTTGGGTTTTTTGAACACTAAGATCAGTATCTTTCTGTTGTATCATTTCATACAGAAACAGGGTCATAAGGAGTAAAAATCAACATTACAGTTAGTAGTATTACTTCTTGCAAATACTCATAGGTGGGTCTATGTAGAGTCCAGGTTCTAGACATGTGACTTATAAACCATTTTAGACTACAACCCGTTGTGACGGAATAGACGAAATGCATGTCTCTTTTCCTTTCTCCCCTCCTTACTTTCTTCATTCCATATTTGTTCATTTATTAATTCAGTAAGTATTTATTTAATATTTGTTATTACCTGTAATTATTCTAATAACTTGGAATAAAGAGGTGAGTCCATCAGATCACTTCCTGAATAGCATTTTAAGCAAGGAGAACATTATAAATCTTTTGTTGACAAACATCACTTATTATGGGTCTTTAGATTCTACTTACAGTTTCTTTTAAAAATAAAATAAGCATTTGTAATTACTACTTTTTACAAACTGAAGTGCACACTGAAATGAATTCTAGAAATATGTGTGGTTAAGGAGATGCCAGTGAGCTTCTAAGGAGGTCATATACGGAGAGTGACAGAAGTCATTAATATACCTGAATTTGGAATCAGTAATAAACATTTATTTAGTACATTATGTCATGAGGACCTAACAAGTGATAATTTAACCTAGATACTTAGTAGATGTCAACTTTTTAAAATTTTCTGTTAGTTATTTAATTCCATTAACTTATTTATATCCACCATGTCTCAAACTGCTCAGGTACTACAGATTTAGAAATGAACAGCAACCAGTTCCTACTCTCGAGATTCCAGGTCTAATAAGGGAAAGTAACAAGTAAACAAGCATAATATAAAGTGATGATGATAACAGCCAATACACTACTTGCATTGTACTTACTGTGATCTAATCATTTTTCTAAGTGCTGTCCATGTATCAATTCATTTTGCCATCAAAACAATGATCCAGATTTAATGGATGAGGAGACTAAGGCATAGAGAGGTTAAATAATTTGATTCAGGTTATATAGCTAGTGATAACTGCGTAAAAAGTTAATACTGTGATGTAAAGAGTGGCATGGGAGCTGAAATGAAAGATACCTAATTCAGTGTGAGAGGTTCAGGAAAGTATGCCAGAAGAGTGGCACTTGAAATAAGTTGCTATTCTAATTAATGAAGAAATAAAGTACTCATGGTTTTCTGGAGTGGCCACAGAAGTTGTGCCTAAAACTGTTTGTGTCTTCTTTTCAAATAGTACTCCTTCAGAAAGTCAAACCCACTTTAATTTTGATTTGTGTAGACAGTAGGGTCGATACTCTTTCTGTGGGGAAGAGATTCAATTTTTTCATCTACTGACTTAAAGCATAATCTGAATTATAATTTGTGGATTTTCAAAAATCTTTTAATTGTTTTTTTGTTAATATTTTGAGAGAGGGGCAGAGCAGGCTAGGGGCAGGAGGCAGATTGAGAGAGAGAGAGAAGGAGACACTGAATCTGAAGAAGGCTCCAGGCTCCAAGCTATTAGCACAGAGCCTGATGTGGGGCTCAAACTCATGAATTTTGAGGTCATGACCTGAGCCGAAGTTGGATGCTTAACTGACTGAGCCACTCAGGTGCCCCTATAATTTGTTGATTTTATTTTTATTTAAGTTGATAATACTTCATGAAGGATTTGATGTAGCTTTCAAATGATTTGATTCAGATAAGTCCATTACAAATGCCAACAGGCTTCTTTTAAAGGCTATTTCATTAAGTATTTGTTGGGTCCACTGATTGAAGATAACTGTGTTCTGTTACCTGCTTGCTTCTCTCGGCACAGCACAGTCTAACCATTTTAAGTGACAGATTGTTCATCTTGTGATGAACAGTTGTGATTCTTCCTTTCGCTTGTGTAATTTACAGCATTGAAGAAGACTCCAGGGCCAAGCTTTTCCCAAGGCTTGTCAGTCAATGAAAAACTAATGATAAGTGCCCCAGTGAACACTACAACATACGTAGCTGAAACGGAATCAGAGCAAGCAGATACATGGTAAAGCTTCATTGTTAACAGACACATATCCTATCAATGAGTAAATAGTGTATTCAAGAAGTAAAGTCAGTGCCTTTATCATATCAGCTCTTAGGAGATAAAGTATGGGAGAATGGGATGTCATATTTTAGGATAATGATTGGTGAACTTTCTATAAAGGACCAGAGAATAAATATTTTTGGCTTTGTGGGTCATTGATCTCTGTCACATCTATTCAGCTTTGCCACTGTAGCATGGAAGCAGCCATGGACAACATGTAAATGAATGTGTGTGGCTGTGTTCCAATAAAATTTAATTTATGAAAACAAGTGGCAGGCCAGATTTGGTCCGTAAGCCGTAGTTTGCAAACCACTGTTTTATGATAAAGATTTTTGTTGTTGTTTCTTACAAATGTACATTGAAGACTATAAAAAATTATATACTTTGTGACTAGTGAAATAACTTTGAAATAAATTTGTACTGTATGATGTTGGTTTTACCTGAATAGCTTTGGAGATACTTTCTGTGTGTCTACATGGCTGTCTAAATAATGAATATTCATAAAGATAGTTTTCTAGTAGTTCTCTACTTGAAGAAGCCTTTTTTGTTCTTTGGGTTTTGTTTTTTTGTTTTTTTGGTTTTTTTTTTTTTTGAGCAAGGGCAGCTTCTACATAATCAATGGTATTTTTCATTTAAGATAGTCTGTCTTAAATAATCCGTAATGAACTGTTCATATTGAAGGATATTTATGATATCACTATATTGGATCGTATTTAAAATTTTAATACATCCATTTCTTATACTGAGGCCAGATGTAACTTAAAAAAATTTTTTTAATGTTTATTTTTGAGAGAGACAGAGTCAGAGACAGAGTTCAAGCATGGGAGGGGCAGAGAGAGGGAGATACAGAAACTGAAGCAGGCTCCAGGCTCCAAGCTGTCAGCACAGTGCCTAACATGGGGCTTGAACCCACAAACTGTGAGATCATGACCTGAGCCCAAGTCGGATGCTTAATCGACTGAGCCACCCAGGCACCTCAGCCCAGGTGTAACTTTTTAAAGAGAAACTGTTAATGTTTTGAAAGTCACGTGTCACGTGTATGACCACGTTAGTTGTTTTTTGTGAATAAGAATATTAAAGGCAGTATATGTTTAACCATATATTGTAGAACCATGTGCGTGTAAATATTTTTTCTATTCTAGCAGCTACCATCTGGCTGGAATATAACCATTATCAGTTCATCTATATTCTTGCCATCTGGGTAGAATATAACCATATCAGTTCATATGAATCTAAATGTATCTAATTTAGACCTAAAAGGGATCTAAATATCTCCTTTATATATGATGCTGGAATTGTAGAAGATGGTTTTTTTTTTCTGATTTTCCTTTTTTTTTTTACTTAATTTTTTTGCATGAAAATAATTCTAAGATTTTAAAGCAAAAATTACCTAGGTTATCACCTACTTTAATTTTTAATAGAATACTAGGTTGATACTCCATGTGTGTTTGGCAGTTTTTTATAATAGAGTATGCTGGGCATTGTGTGCTATAAGAGATGAAGAAGAGAAAGTTATTTGTCTTTAGGGAACTTTGCTGAAAAAGGAGTGACTTTCTTTGAGATACTGAAATATATTCATTTATTATCTAAAGATAATTATGTTCTAAAGCTATCACATTAGTACCTTTTAGAGGACTTTATTTCTAGATAAAAATTGCTCTAAACCTGATGGCTTACCTTGCATTCATTTCTTTTGCTACAGTATGGATTTCAGTGAAAGACCTAAAGAAACCACAATCTCCAGAGTGGAACAAAAATTCAGAATGTCTTCACAAGAAATATCCACTGTGAAGGAACTCTCCAAAATAAGCTCTAATGATAATAATAAAGTATCAAATACTCTGGTTAGGATGAAAATTCCAACCTGTCAGCTTTCACCAAATAAATTCTCAGGTGTAAATAAAAGTAGAGATCGGGCTTCTCAGCAGCAGACCAACTCCATCAAAAACTATTTTCAGCCTTCTACCAAAAAACGGTATATTTTAAAATAATACCTATATCTCTGAAAAATATTAATATATGTCCTATGATTAAAGAATGGCATTTAGTCTGTGTTCTGCTTGAAAATGCTTCTGTGGAAACTGATTCTTTGACCTCATGCCCGTTTAGAAATGTCCAAATCTTCTCCTTCACTAAGGTCATTTGTAGATACTTTTTCTGTATACCTTAGCTTATCTGTTACTTCACTTTGCCGCGCTTCTTTTGAAGAAGAGCTTTCCCACACCTCCGTTCTTTCACTTCTCTTACCTCGTCTAGGACCAAGCTCTCCCAGTTATTATCTCAGTTTCCAGCACTTTAATTATTCTAGGTCCTTACCTATTCAAAAGTGCTCTCTCCCTTTTATTTTTTGAAACCTTTCCTTGAGGGGCGCCTGGGTGGCTTAGTCGGTTAAGCGTCCAACTTTCGCTTAGGTCATGATCTCGCGGTTCGTGGGTTCGAGCCCCGCGTCGGGCTCTGTGCTGACTGCCAGCTCAGAGCCTGGAGCCTGTTTCAGTCTGTGACTCCCTCTCTCTCTGACCCTCCCCTGCTCACGCTGTCTCTCTCTCTCTCCTAGAAATAAATAAAAAATATTAAAAAAAAAAAAAAAATGAAACCTTTCCTTGACTTCGTTCGTTCTTCTAGCAACTGCCTTTTGTCTTTCACAATCACTATTAACTTCTCAAAGAGATTACTGTTACTGCTCCCCTTGCTGTATGAAATAATTCTTAACCAGCAATATTTCATCTTGACATGATGCCCTTGAAAAGTAGCCACTGACACAGTTGCCAGCTCTAGTGGCCTTTTGGTGATACCTAACTCTTGAATCTTCTCCTTACAGTGCCTTCTCGGTTGTTATAGTAGTGGCTTGGTTTTGCCTCTCTGCCCCCTTTGAGGACTTCTTTCTCTTTTCATACTACTGCTTTATATGTGTTATATATTATACCTTCTGAGTTTCATGACTTTATTACAGATGATCCATATATTTGGCCTTAACTTACCCTTTAAACCTCTCTTGTACTTTCCCACAAGAATTTTCTGCTGTTTCCCCAAATAATTTGCCTAAATCTTTTCTCCTCTGTCGTTGAATATGTATTTTTTCTGTTAGTAGTTTACTTTGTCAGAATCTTTTGACTCTTTCTCTACTACCTCCCCCAAAACAGTATTTGATTCTTATTTTCATTGTTTTCTGAAGTCTTCTCTTTTCATCTGTTTGTATTTAAACTCTGACCACCTAAATTATTACAAAAACCTCTTGATAAGTCTGTCCAGTACCCTGATACTAGATTAGTATTATTAAAATATCACCTTGATTGTTCCAAATTACCATGAATTCAGTAAACTTCTGGGAAGCAGAGATCCACATTTTTATTTTCCCTATGGGCCTTAATAGTACAATATATAAATGAATAAACTAATGAGTACTTAATGAAACCGTATTTCATTAAGAAAACTCTAAGTCATATATTGACATTTAAAAATTTTTTTTTAATGTTTAATTTTTGAGAGAGCACAAGCTGGGTAGGGGCAGAGAGAGGGAGGCACAGAATCCGAAGCAGGCTCCAGGCTCTGAGCTGTCAGCACAGAGCTCTATGCAGGGCTTGAACCCACGAACCTCACGGTTCGTGACCTGAGCTGAAGTTGGATGCTTAACCGACTGAGCCACCCAGGTGCCCCAGTCATGTATTCACATATTACTTGCAGTATATATAGTCTGTACTGTATTCTGGATATAGCCACTCTGACTTATTATCATGAATTAGCTCTCCTTAACCCATCAGGTTGTATTCCCAAGGTAATTTTTCCTTGCCTACAAGTTCCCTACATTATAAAGTAAGCTGTTGTTTCCTGGTAACAAATCCATATTTTTATATCTTTCTACCTTTTCCTCTCCATTTATTAGCTACTGCTGCCTTAGCAGAGAAGATAGACTTCTCCCTATTGTTTTAGCCATTGGGTTGACAGTCCTCTGAAAACAGTAGTCTATATGAACTATGTGCTTTTTTCAGATGTCCTGTTTTTTTACTCCCAGTAATATTAATAAAATCAGGAATATTGTGCATTAAATGTGGGGAGGTGAATATTGCCAGATATTGGTGCATTCATTTTCTGTTTTTGTTTTCTTCTTTCCTTTTTTAAATCTAAGGGAAAGAGATGAAGAAAATCAAGAAATTTCTTCACCCAAATCAGCAAGAATAGAAATGTCTTGTTCTCTGTTAGAACAGACACAGCCTATTCTACCTTCAGTATGGAAAAATAAGGAGCAGTCTCTATCTCAGAGCGAGCCTGTCGAAAAGAAACCAGATAACTTAGTTACAGATACAGATTTAAAATCCACTGTGAACAGTTCTACCAGCAACTCTCTTTCTACAGAAAAACTAAGATCAGTAAAAAGAAAAGTAATTGATGATTTAGCCATTGAAGATGAAGTATTGGAAGAGTTACTCAAGAACACAGAATCAGAGTTAGAAATTGGAGTGAAAGTTCAAAAACAAGAGGAAGATGTCAATATTAGGAAAAGACCAAGATTGGATATAGAAACAAATGGCACTTTTAATGATGAAGCAATACCAGAAAGTAGCAGAATATCTGTAAGTAACATTTTTTAATGAGAAGTATTACAAATAGAAACTTAGAATGTTAAAAAGAAATTTAATACAGTAGAAGTATCCAGTGTTTCCTTGAGGAAACAGTTAATGGGTTCAGCACCCAGTATTAAGTATAAGGATTTGTTGGTTGATAAGGTCAGTATTAAAAATGCAGTGTTTCTTTGATAGTATATAATAAATGGCAACAAACAAAACTGTTTCATGATTAGTAGATTTCCAGGCTGTATTACTATATTGTTATATCAGACCTATGGCCTTGATGGTAAGTATAGGAGATGCCTTAACAGAGTAAGCAGACAGAAGAATGAAAAGAGTTAGTAAAACAAACTATTAAATAATTGTTAGGATAAATCAAGTATAACATCAGTAGGAGTTTTTATTTTCATTTGGGTCTTTAATATCCTATTTTCATGAATGTTGATAAGTTTTCTTACCACTTTGATCTAAGAAAACTCTTCAGATTATTTCCTATTTTATGCATAATTAAGTTGACTGCAGAATAGTTAGGTCATTAGGTGAGAGCATGGACCTGATGAAGTAAAAATATAATATTCTGGTCTTTCATACAGGTCCATTAGCTCCATTTTGTTCATGGTTGTGGTCTCTCTCCTGTTATAATGACTACTGCATAAGGCACAGGACTGAGTGAAAGGATAAGGATTAAGTGATCGGAAGGTACAACGACTTAATAAATATTTGTTGAGAACCTAGTGTGTATCAAGCACTGTAAATCTATAACTGCTGTTGAGAAAATAAAGTAGATGTCCTGTTTAGCCTAAATATTGGCATCTTTATATGAGAGGAAATCCTCATTTTTTGTGAATTTATTTTGAACGAATCCTAAATGCCTTTCTGTGGACCAGCTATATCAGAATCAGCTGGTGAGCTTTTTTTTTTTTTTAAACTTTATTTTTACAGAAGGTACACATGAGCAGGGGAGGGGCAAAGGGAGGGAGAGGGAGAGGGCTCATGACCAGAGCCAAAATCAAGAATCGGACACTTAACCAACTGAACCACTTAGGCACCCCAGCTGGTGGGCTTTTTAAAAAATACGAATACCCAGACCAGAATTCCAAAAGATTCTAATGCATTACCTCCAATTTTATTCCCAGAGAATGCTCCCTCTTTTTAGGAGTTAAGAAATCCTTTTGCTCTCTTTAAAAATTCTAAAATCAGTGGGTTAAATAAGATAGGATTATTTTGTTCCTATAAAAGAAGGCCAGAAGTAGGTAACGAAAGCTGCTTGGAAGTTCCATGACATTAGTTTCTTAGGTGTCTGTTTTTCTCTCTACAAGGTGCCACCTCTAGCCATCATGTCAACTTTCCAGGGAGGAAGAACAAGTAGGAACAGGGGACAGGGTAAAGGCCTCACATTCTAAGGAATGTTCTCAGAAACCTCACTTCATTCCTTTGGTTATTAGCCACAATTTAGTAATGGTCTCCATGACTCTCTATCCCTCACCCTCAGTCTGTAAGAGAGTATGGGTTGGGGAGCCTGGGTGGCTCAGTCGGTTAAGCATCTGACTTCGGCTCAGGTCATGATCTCACGGTTCGTGGGTTCGAGCCCCGCGTCAGGCTCTGCTGACAGCCAGCTCAGAGCTGGAGCCTGCTTTGGATTCTGTGTCTCCCTCTCTCTTTCTGACCCTCCCCTGCTCACACTGTCTCTCTCTCTCTCTCTCTCTCTCAGAAATAAAAAAAAATTAAAAAAATTTAAAAAAAAAAGTATGGGAAATGTTTTAAGTTTGGCACATTGCTGTCCCTAACAAACTTAGCATTGGGTAAGTAAGGAAGAAACAATACATTGAGATACCTTTTAGGCAAATTGAGAACTTCAAAGAAAGGGGAGTTCTTTATTATCAAAGATTAGCTGTCACTTTACAGAAGAGATTACTTGAACCAAATGGTTTATATATTCTAGAAGTTATTTGTTCAGCAGTTTCTATTATAGTGGAAGTTTAGGTTGGTTTAATGTGGTATTGGTGAAGTCAAAGGGATGATTTCGTAACTACATTTAATAAATTTATATTTCTTTATAAAGGTGTATTTACTTATATTATTAGTTTACATTGTTCCTTTGGCTCCAGACTGTTCCAAAATTTGTGTTCAGACTACTTAATACTGTAAGCATTTAATCTTTAGGAAGTTGGACTCTGTATTATTTTGATTACATCTTTTTGATTACACCTTGGAAATGCATTTCCCTTGCAGTGTATCTTTCCTGCTGTATTTTCAGTTTTTCTGATATGTTCTTATTTTCTTTCTCTAGTCTTCTTGTCCTATTACATGCTTTAATTTTTTTAATAGCCTTTTTTTTTTTCTTAAATTCTATCCCAGATTGGTCCACTGTTCACAGTGGCTACAGCTCTGTCTGAAATGGCTATGGTTTTAATAATAGAACTCTTTGGTCTCTCCTGTATGGCTATTAATATTCTGAAATACTCTGCATTGACTACACATTTTCCCTGGGCTCATGGTCACTCAAGGTTGGGCATTAGATCCTAGAGTGGGAGAGACAGGAAGTGATCATTATACACCAGTGATATGAGATTCATTAAACAGTATTTGTGTATCTGAAAAGACCTTTCATTTAAGAGCCAAGCTTTACATGCTTATATATATCAATATAAATGCTGTATATTGATACCAGGGCATACACTTACTTTATTTTGTTCTGTGGTTCTGTAGCATAATTTGCTTTGTCCTTACTTTACTATTTTAGAATTCATAACATTCTAAGTAAAATTACAGTGTAAAATAAATACGTTGCAGATGACTTCTAGAGAGTGAGTAGTGATTTGATTGTGATATACTTTTGAGTATACTAAAAGTTGAGTCACTGTATTCTAGTGCTATGTTTTTAGTAAGAGCCTGTTATTTTGTTTTCAATGTAAGATAATTTTTGACAACTTTTTATTTTGAGATAATTGTTGATTCACATGCAGTTTTAAGAAGTTATATAGGGAGATCCAGTATACCTTTCATCCTGTTTCCCCTAATCATAATGGCTTGTATAATTACAATACATTATCACAACCAGGAAAGTGACATTAATGCAGTTCATCAACCTTATTCAAGCAATGGGAGATTATTTTTTTATATACATATATATTTTTATTTTTTTTATTTTTTTTATTTTTTTTTTTACAAATAGTTTATTGTCAAGTTGGTTTCCATATAACACCCAGTGCTCATCCCCACAAGTGCCCTCCTCCATGCCCCATTGCGAGATTATTTTTAATTTTTAAATTTTTTATTATTTTAAGAATTTGTTGTTGGAAAGTCCTTGTAGATGAGATGGACATGGGTTAAAGGAATTGCACTTAATTTTTCTAGCTGTGGAGGTGATTATCAGGAAAAAATTTCTTAATCTTTTCATTTAAAAAACTTAATATAATTTTAAGGCAAAAATGTGAAACTTCTCTTTGACATTGGATTCCTTAGGTTATTTCTAATCTTTTGATGGTAGAACCACTCTTTTTCTATTTTGGGATTTAAATATAGATTCTAGCACATCTGTAAGACTTTATAAGCTGAAATAGAAAGCTTTTGAATAGATACTCCTGGTACAAGTTTATCCGTATATATACGTATATATACTCAGCTGTGCCTGAGTCTTGGCCTTAAAATTTCCCAGTCTCTGCAAAATGCAAACATGACTCATCCTTGTTAACATTCCTCTTCTTAATAGCACCCACTGTCTGCAGAGCATCTTTTCTTCACCTTGTTCTTCCCTCCTGTTCTAAATTAAGGTTTCCTCTTCTCTCTCAACTATAGTATCTTCTAAAGCCTAGTAGTAATACCTACCACTTATTGGATATCATCATTCTGTTTATAGCAATCCTGCAGTGAAGCAGTGCTATACACATTGAACTGATTAGGAAGCTGACATGAAGAGGTATTAAGTAACTTGGCAAGGTTGCTTAGCTAGGTTTTGAACTGGGACAAAAACTTAGGGCTACTCTTCTCTTTTGGCAGTTTCTTTTGTCAGCATTCTCAGAATGACATTTATTTATCCAGTTACTCTAGGCATTGGGCATGCTAACAGGAGAGGCTGAGAGGATAGGTTTGATAGACCTTTGAAAGGTAGTCTCCAGGGACGCTTGGGTGGCTCAGTCCATTAAAATGCATCCAAGTCTTGATTTTGGCTCAGGTCACGTTCTCATGTTTGTGAGTTTGAGACCTGTGTCAGGCTCTGCACTGACGGTACAGTGCCTTCTTGGGACTGTCTCCTCTCTCTCTGTCTCTGTCCCCCCTCTGTCTCGCTCTCTGCCCATCCCCCACTTGTACTTTCTTTCCTTTTCAAAATAAATGAACTTAAAAAAAAAAGAAAAGAATTTCCAGGACTTGGTGATTGACTCACCATGAGAAATGGAGAGAGAAGAAAGAGTATAGGATAATTCTCAAGCTTAGAGTTTGAGTGTCTGGGTGGATTGTAGTATGATTCTCTGAGCTAAGAAATAAAAACTGCTCAAGAGGAGGAGCAAGTGTGAGGGGGTGGGGCAGTACAGGGAGAAAGTGCCAGGGGAGTAAAATGTTCTGATTGTGATTAACTTGCAGTGACTGATGTATATGAAAGTACTGAAAGGGCACATGGTAGGCTTAGAGTATCAAATTTTTAATCTTACTGTTGAGAAATAAAAGCATTCTATTTAGTCCCTAAGCAAACACAAAGTGTGCACATTTGTTTTTCTGCCCTTTCTTTCCATCTTTCTTATTATAATTTTTCTGATTTTTTAATATTGAATCATTGTTAATTTGATGTAAAATCGTATGCTCCCCTAGTTTACCCAAGGAATTACAATTTTTGCTGAGTGTCAGAAAGCCATATATGTAATATGCTGATGTCTGGAACCTGATGTGAATATGTGAATGTGAAGGATAGTATGATTGTATACAAGGCAGTTTCCATTTTTTTGCAGACATATGTCTTGAGTAATTAAAGTAACCCTGTTTCTTTTTTCTTGGATTAAAGACCATTCAAAATTAAATACTAAATGTAAATTTATATAGAATCCTTTAAAAATGTTTCTATTTTAGAGCACAGAAGTAGTACATAACTATGTAGAAATATAGAAAATCAAAACATAAGAATTTGTTGATAATCCTACCATCTGTAGATAACCAGAGATAATATTTTGGTATTTTTTAATTCTTATTCTGCAAACTTAGAGTCAACCGTTCATGTAATTTCCTAGCCATTTTTATTCACTTATACTATAATCATTTCTCCTATTGTAAAATAACTTATATGAACTTAGATTGTTTCCATTTCTTTGCTCTTGTAATTCATACTGCAGTGTCTTTTTTTACATAGATTTCTATTCTTATCTCAGTTTTCTAGGAAAGATACTTAAAAATCAAATAACTGGGTCAGGAACATTTAAAGATGCCATTTTATAATTTATATGAACAATGTTTTTTTTTCTTTAGCAAGAAAATGAAATTGGGAAGAAATGTGAGCTCAAGAAAGATTCACTATGGTCAACTAAAGAAGAACTATCTGTGAGGAAATTTTTCTTTATTTAATTTTAATAAAGATTTGACTTAATGACCAACATTTGATCGATTACTATCAGTTTACATTCTTAGGATTGATTATTTCCCTTTCTGTAATTTTGATCCTTTACATAATTATACTTACTCTGGAAATAATTTGATATATTATAATCATGATATAGCAAAAAGAGGTTAGAGAAAAGCCTGAGTATAATTCCTGCCTTCTGCTGCATAAATGTGTGATTTTGAACAAGTCACTTTCACATTTATGGACCTCATGTCTTTAGTTTATAAAATCAGGTCAACACTTTTCCAACAGGGTGATCATTTATATCAGATAGAGTAATGAATGTGAAATATTTCTAAATGCTAAAGCACATTACAAAAGTATTAAGTCATTGTTAATTTATTAGAGTTCCTAATTACATTCTGTCATTAATAGATGAACCTTGTCTTTTGACTTTTCACTTTTTTTCTTTCTCTTCCTGACTCTATTTATTTTAGTCCTGTTAGCTACTTCTATTTGAATAGGGAGTAAAAGAGTTTAAAAAACTAAGATGGCCAGCCTTGAGTTGTTCTAACAATGCTGATCTGTAACTAACTACTTGGTTAATAGTAAATGACCTAAAGAATCTTAACCAGTAACAGCAAGGAATCTTCAGTGTGATTTTTTTTTTAATGTTTTATTTATTTTTGAGAGAGAGAAAGAGAGACAACATGAGTAGGGGAGGGTCAGAGAGAGAGGGAGACACAGAATCTGAAGACAGTCTCCAGATTCTGAGCTAGCTGTAAGCACAGAGCCCAATGTGGGGCTTGAACCCACGAACCATGAGATCACGACCTGAGCTGAAGTTGAACGCTAAACCGACTGAGCCACCCAGGCGCCCCTCTTCAGGCTGATTTAATACCATCAACCTGCAATTAAAGAGCGGCTTTCAGTTAATGAGTAATGAATGTGTCCAGAATTAATGGTTTTTGGAGATGTCAAAAATAATTATTGAAAATCCAAGAAAAGCTTAAATATAGTAGATGAGAACTTGTAGAACAGATTACACTGTTAGTTGATGGTTTTAATGATAAGAAGTAGACAGAACTGACATTTCTTGCTGAGAAAATATATACAAGATAAAGTATTCATTGAGATGATATTTATTGGAATAGCTACTAAATTAAAAATGCTAAACAGTTTTAGTCTTCTGTCATAGATGAGTGTGTTATAAATGTTTCTAAAAGCACCGAGTATTTGAGGCACCTGGGTGGCTCAGTTGGTTAAGCGTCCGACTTCGGCTCAGGTCATGATCTCACGGTTCAAGCCCCGTGTTGGGCTCTGTGCTGACAGCTAGCTCAGAGCCTGGAGCCTGCTTCAGATTCTGTGTCTCCCTCTCTCTCTGGCCCTCCCCTGCTCCTGCTCGCTCTCTCTCTGTCATAAATAAATAAAAAACATTAAAAATAAAAGCACAGATTATTTGAATACATAATCTGGTTTTGAAGTAGATCTGATTTGATTTCCAAATACAGAGTTTGGATGCCAGAAATAAACCTTTTTTACTGGGTTTTTTTTTTTTTCTTCAAGTATTTGAACTTTTTCTGTAGATATTAAATAAGTAATTTTCTTTTCCTTATCTTTTCTGCTTATGTATCCATCATAACCCCATTTAAGATCAAAGATGAACTTCAGGATGATGGTGATCTGCTTCCAAAGAAGGTGTTACTGATTGAATTTAGATCACTGGTGGTTAGTAACTTTACCTCCAGAAAAGCATCCAGTGTCAATAGTGATTATGGTCAACTAAAGAATTTCAAAAAATTCAAAAAGGTATGGTATTCCTTTAACTAAAATATCACCAGAGGGCAGTGTTTGAAATGTTTTTAGAAATACCGTTGATGCTGAACAGTAAAAGCAATTGATGCTGAAAACTGATACTATTTCTTCTGCTTAAAACAGTTAAAATTAGTAAGAACATGAACTGACAGTTAATGAGTACATAAATATATGCTGAATATATAATGAATACATGGAAACAAATTTCATTAAGACTGAATTCGTTAAAGGGTGTTGTTTACCTCGTCTTTCCCACCTTAAGTGACAGGCTTTGGGCTATATTGGAAAGGCTCTTCTTCTAATGATCTGTGGCTACCTAAAGGGGTTCCTTAACTCAGGACTTTATGAAGATAACAGATCTGTTTAAAATAACTGAGCACATTAAATAATGAAAAGTAGGCATTTTACCGTTACACGTGTATATATAAAAAATAGAAATATATATCTGAGTATTATCATTAGACCGGAGTTTCTTCTTTTTTAAGGAACTGATATTTAATTTGTCAGTATGACCAAAAGGATATTTCCGGTCTAGTCTGTATTTTGTTGTCTGTTCTGGGATATTTGCTTCTTGTTCCATATCTACTACTTCTACCTTTTGCTTAAGCAGTTAATCAGAATACAGTTAATTTTTTTCAAAAGTGATTTCTGTGGAAGACTTCCTTTCACTAGAATATGATCTGTTTGATTCTTGCTGTGACTATGGGGGATTGTAGCTTTTCCTCTCCAATGTGAGTTACTATTAATATTTGTTAGTTAAATTAATTTTTTGCCTACTATGACAATGTGTAAAAGGTTCTGAACTCCTATCTCTTCTACTTAGAGTAGAAGATGGAAATACTTCGATTAGATGGCATCCACTTATTCTTTCCCATCCCACAGGTGTGGCTCATGCACACCCCAGGGTTATTCTTAACCGCATGGTTATTTCATGTTCAGTGTCATGTTACCAAGACTCATTGTTGAATCAAAATTCAAAAGACAAACCATTTTTTTAATGTTTATTTATTTTGAGAGAGTTTGCAAACATGGAAGGGGTAGAGAGAGAGAAAGAATCCCAAGCAGGCTCTGTGCCATTAACTCAGAGCCCAACATGGGGCTCAAACCCATAAACTGCGAGATCTTGACCTGAACTGAAATCAGAGAGTCGAACACCTAACCAACTGAGCCACCCAGGCACCTCTAATATATTTTTAAAATTAATGAAGTTACCAAAGGTAAAGCAATCCCTTTGGGCCCGGGGATAGCAAAGAACTATAAAGTAGTATAAACTTTTGGGAAATAGTTTGGAAAAAATTTTATTTTATTAAAAAACAATTTTTTTTAAGTTTATTTTGAAGGGGGGTGAATGGGGGAGAGGCAGAGCAAAGGAGAGAGAGAGAATCCCAACCAGGCTCCAAGCTCCTCACTGAACTCTATGCAGGGCTTAGTCTCATAACTGTGAGATGATGATCTGAGCTGAAATCAAGAGTCAAGACACTTAACTGACTGAGCCACCCAGTTGCCCCTAATCTTACTAACCTTAACCTTTTAACAGGCCACATTTCCTGGAGCAGGGAAACTTCCACACATCATTGGAGGATCAGATCTAATAGCTCATCATGCTCGGAAGAATACAGAATTAGAAGAGTGGTACAAGCAGGAAATGGAGGTTAGTAGGAAGTGAGGCCTACTAACTTGTTTGGTTTACATTTTGGTCCCTTGTGGTTTCTTTAGAGCAAATCCTTCATAAAACCAAACTTAATTGACCTAAGGTCATTCATTCAGAAAATTCCCTAGTTACAGAGCATTAAGGTTAATTTCTATCTTTCCATAATGCTTCTTCAAGAAACTTTTAGATTTATTAGTCAAAAAAAGTGGCACACAAACAAATGAATTAAGTTTACATTCTAATGTAAAGGGGAGAAAAGAGATTTAACCAACAAAATGTAAAAGAACACTAAAGCATAACTGTTAAAAGATGGTTGTACAGTCATTTGGGGGATATTACAAGTAATATCAATTATATAGTATGTGAATGGACTGGGTTTTCCAAATCTGGAAATTATCTTTCAGTAGTTCTCAGAATTTCTCAGTCATTATTTTATTATTACCTTTTACCTGTTTTTCTCCTGTATCTCTTTTTAGTGTATATTTAATTTTTTAAGGAATTGCCGTAATTTTTCCATAGCAAGTATGCCATTTTGCGTTCCCAATAATAGTGTGCAGAGGTTTCAGTTTCTCCACATCCTCTTAACTTTTTTTTTTTTGATAATGCACATTTAACTGGTACGAATCTCAATGTGGTTTTGATTTGCACTTTCCTAATGATTAATGATGTTGAGCATCTTCTCATATGCTTGTTGACCATTTGTATATCTTTTTTGAAGAAATGTCTATTCAAAAATCTCTTCCCATTATCAGATTATTTATCTTTTGTTGTTTTTGGACTCTAGGTGTTTCTTGTATATTTTGAATATTAGTCTTTTTTATTAGATGTATGATTTGCAGATATTTCCCCTTTCTCTGGGTTGCCTTTTCACTGTGTTGATTGTGTATTTTGATGCACAGAAATTTTAAGTTTTGATGTAGTTCAGTTTATCAGTTTTATTGCTGTTGCTTGCCTATGCTTTGGTAGTATATCTAAGAAATCATTCCCAAATCCAATATCAGGAAGTTTTTCCCTTTTTTCTTCTAAGAGTTTTATACTTTTAGCTCTAATATTTAAATCTTTGATTGATTTTGAGTTAATTTTCATGAGGGTGTAATATTAGAGTCTAACTTCATTCTCTTTAGTTACACTTTCACACTTTTTTTCAGTGATACATGAGCATACCATCTTGAAGGTGAAGTGGGAGAATCTCAAGTCAGTTATACTATTGACACCTTCTTGCTATGCAAACCTTGCCTAATGCCTCCTCCCATGGGCAGTTGTTACTGATCTATCTCATTTTTCCCCAGAGTCTTTAAGTTTTAAGAATGTAAGATAAATTGTTAAATAATGTTGATTGATTATTAAGTAGTAATTATTTACATTTAGTTTATATTTTTAAACTTTTAATTATGAAAAGTTTTCAAACACAAAATGTAAAGAGTGAAACAAACCCCAAACACACAGGTTCAGCAAATACCAGCATTTGCACATCTTGCTTTATCTGTTACATTTCTCAACTTTTTTTCTTTCTGAAATATTTTTCTTTTTGGAGTATTTTAAAGCAAATCCCAATTTATTATTTCATTTATATTTATGTGTTCAAACATACAGATTTCTGATCAATTACATATTATGGTCAGAGTGTGCCTTCCTAGGTACTGTACAGTAGAGTACAGTAATATAGTCAGTTCGTGTTGTTCAAATCCTAGACTAGGACCAGCAGCATAATTTTTATCCTTGAAATTGCTTTACAGTTGTATAACTTTGCATACTTGCTTTATGGCATGTCTTTGATCATATCTACAACTAATATGTTGCCTAAGTCTCAGGAAACCAAACCTCAGTTATAACATTGCTCTTTTGGAAAAATAAGAACTGCTTTACAGCTTTTCATGTTAGAATGTGATTTTCAAGAACTCATTGTTTACGCATAAAACACTATATATATTTATATACTACTATAATGAGAACTCACAAGAAAAATGATACAAATAAGCTTCTCTTTTCTTTTAAATGTTTGAGAGAGAACACATGTGCATGGGGATGGGAGAGAGGCAGAGAAAGAGAGAAAAGAATACCAAACAGGCTCTGCATGGTCAGTGCAGAGTCCCATGGGGCTCAGTCTCATGAACTGTGAGATCATGACCTGAGTCCAAATCAAGAGTCGGATGGTCAACCACCTGAGCCACCCAGGCACCCTATGCTTCTCTCTCTCTCTCTTTTTTTTTACTTTCTCCCTAGGTGTTTTGAGTCCTAGTGGATATTGTGTAAAAAGACCATCTACCTGATTCATAATTCTTTCAACCCCTTACTTTTGTTTTAACTGGAGAATTTGATAAAACTCAGTAAAGTGGATAACTTTTTGCCATTGAGGAAGTTACTGCATGGACGTTAAGATTTCAGAAACATATGACTGTTGAATTGAGAGACAATCAAAGGCCTCCTCCAGGGTTAGAATGTTTTCTTTTTAGTCTTTGTATTGCCTGATTGTCCAGTGCTCCTGGAAACCAAAGGTGGGCTCCAGATAAGTTGTCTCAGCAGGCTGTTTGAAGTAGGGCCGCCTAGTAGTTGAGGCGTGAGGGTGATTTCTCTTTCTTGAACTCCCACAATTTGATAATCACTTTCTTCTCTTATTATGTCTATATATTTTATCTCTTTTTTTTTCTCTGAAATTTATTTCTGGAAGAAATTTATATCTCTCCACGATATCTTCCAGTTTGATACTTTTCCCTTCCACTCTATCTAGTTGGTTCCCACCCATTCATTGAGTTTTCATTTAGACTGTGTATTTTTTTCAGTTTTGGATGTCTGTTTCATTCATTTCTAAACCTTCTTGTTCCCTGCTGATATTTTTAAGCTCCTCTTTTGTATTCTTTGCCTAATGTGCTTGTTGATAGGTTTCTGCTAGTCATCTCTTATGGAGCTTGTTTCCAAGTATATATTTTATGATCTTTTTATGTGAACCGTTCATTTTCCTTAAAATTTGATCTCTGGGAATTCCTTGAGTCCTAAGTTCAGGTTTATTCCTCCAGAAAAGATATATTTGTATCCGCCAGTATTGTTCTACTAACAGGAGACCACTTTAGCCTGAGCTTGTGATTTTCTTGGATTACTTAGGTAGTTAACACCTAGGATCACCTAAGATACTCAAAAACCTGAGTGAAGGCCAGCTTATCATTATAAACTTGAGAGTTTTTTTCTCCTTTACCCTGTCCTAGGGTCAAGGCAGACAAGTTTCTTTCTTACCTTCTTTTGTGTTGTAGAGTTTATTCCTCTTTCTCCCATTAATGCTAGAGTCTTTTCTTAGATTCCTCATCTTTGATTTTCTTTCATAACACTCATCACCCATACAGACACCAAGGGCTGAGCCCAGATTTTTTATGGTTTGTGGATACCGGAGGGCAAAAGCTGGCTGTGTTACTTAATTTCTCAGCGTTTTTATTTTGCTTCATTGTGGGTTTAATGCAGTCTTCAGCAATTTGTTTTTAAAAATGCTTTTTAATCAAAAAACTGTTACAAAGATCACCAAAAAAAGTTAGGTTGTTAAGGTCACTCAGGATTATGTAGTGTCAAAAAATGGAAAACTAGAAATCATATCCTTGTCTCCTTTCTTTTTTGAAAGAATAAATGGCTTTACTGTTTAAAATGTACATGTCAAAGAATTATGGTAGTGCCCAGAAGAATGATGAGGTTAAAATCCTAAAGTCCAGAAATGACCCATTTAACCATTCAGTAAATTGTTCCAGACATCTCTTTATTGCGGAGGAGTAATAGCCAGGACAGAGCGGGAAGGAGGGAGAGAGCGAGAGAAGGAAGTAAAGCTGAAAGCATTGCTGAATTTTTGCAAATGTTTCTTCTCAAGATATTTTATTTTTTGAGATGCCTCTAAGACCGAAGGGTGATAAATAGGAAAAAAACAAAAAGCCACTATCCGATTAGAATCCGTATTTGTTTCAGTTTCAAACTGCCTGTTTGATTGTAGATCTATATTTTGGCTCCCTGCTGTCAACAGTGAGGAACTGTTACTTCCTCCATTGTCCTCGGCCTCTTCCAGCCCCGCATCTTCTGACAGACCTTTCTTTCCCCCCTTTTTAAAGGTGACTTGCGCGCCCGCAGCATTCCTTCGTAGGCTTCCAAGTGGGAAACAGATGTGTCTCCGTGCTCACCAGTGCTGCGTTGTTTTCCCTCAAACACAGTATGTTGTTTTGGTGTGCAGACGCGTTTCTTTTTATTTCAAGGAACTCTTGTGTTATATCTTTGAGAGCATTTTTCTGTTTGCTGGGTTCTCTACATTTAAGACGTAACTAACCTTTTATTAGATCACCTTTACCCTCTGTATCCATTTCTCCTGCACTCCCTTGGGTTTCTTAAGTTCTTTTCACTGTGTCAGAAATTCAGATTTCGGTTGTGTCTTCATTCTTCATCGGCTATGTGATCTTGGGCAAATTAGTTTATTGCCTTATGCTTGTGTTTCTTCTTGTGTGGAATGGGAACAATAATAGTACCTCTGTTTCCCAGAATTTTTGTGAGGATTAAGTAAGATGCTACTTATAAAGCATTTATAACAGTGGAAAGAGGTAATGTTAGCAATTTCTAATTTAACGGATTCTGAAATGGAGTTATTAATAGGTCTCAGTTTGTTAGCGTTTGTTCCCTTCTCATTGTCATTGTGTTTTGTCATCTGACTTTTTGGTTCTCATTTTATTGATTTCATGTTCTTACTCACTTCATTTTTTTATCCTTGGATTGTTACTTCTTGCAGACTAGGTTCTTCATTTATTTTGCATATTCTGTTCCAGTTGCTGTCTTTTTTCTCCCTTTAGTATATGGAGTAGTTTGCGGTTTTCTTTGGTCTTGCAGCTGTTTGCAGTAAAACACCCTGTCCAGATACTGTTTGCTGTGTGAAGCACCCGGTGCTATTTTATGCAGGGATTATAATCTAAAGACCTTTTGTGAGGCAAAAAGTGAATGTAATTGAAATGACCGCCACCCAAGCTCTTAGCTTTCTGGTGGGGAACAGAAAGCCCCTGGTGCCTCCGTACCGGCAGTGTGGCAGCGCGCCCACAGGTGCAGGGCACTTCCCGTCTGGTTCCCGTTGCCTTGACTTGAGACGTTGAATCCAGGAAAGGAGGGGCTCAGCAGGGCCTGTGCGGCTCCTTCCTGGGGTTGGAATTAAATGTGTACCAGGGAGTGTATCTTCTCCCGCATGGCAGTCACATGCCATTTTAGGTCGTTGACCTGATTTGACAGGGATGTGTGGAGCCTGTGCCTGCTCAGTGTCGGTCCCACTCACTTCCCCATGCCACTTGTCCCTTCCCGGCAGCCCACCTGCAGTGTTCTCTCGTGCCTCGTCAGGCTGCTTTTCCCTACAGTGGAGTATTAGTAAGCATTCCCGGGTTTGAGTTTAGTTCTGTAGCATTGTTTCATGCTCTGGGGCAGTGTTAGAAACAGTTGCATCAATCTTTTGGCTCTTTGCAGGCCACTTTTTTCAAGTCTGTGGCTCCTTAATTATCACGGCTGTAAGGTTTTGTTTATTCTTGGATCGGGAGGGTTGAGAGACTGACAGTGTAGCCGCTGACTTTTTTCAGCCTTTTGTTTATTTGATTAGAATTAGTAGAGTCTGTGTTCTAGATTTATTCCTACGTGAGAGCAGTTTTAGGTGCACTAGGTTGGATTCACCTCTGAAGACAATGGAGTTGACTTCGTTGTGCAGGGACAGCGTCTGTATAGAGGCACACCACTGCTTTCACTCCTCCTGCCCCAGGCTTGTCCCGGCTCCTGTTCTTACGCATCTTTTGCCTTTTGTTCTTTTTCAGTTCTTCTTTTGGTACCTCTGCTGTAGTCCAGTCTTTGTTTTCATAATCACTGAGTCTCCTCCTGAAGTTTCCTTCAGTTTAGGTTATTTTCATTTTGTGCATTAAACATAATAATTCTTTGAGACACTATCCATCCGGATTTGAATTTTGAAAGACTGGAGATGTAATGCCCCCAAACCTTTAAAAAAAAAAAAAAAAAGCCAGTAATATGAGGATTTCTTTATCTTAATACTATTTTACTTAATTTTTTTTACTAAGACACATAAAGCTGATTTTTCCTTACAACTGTTCTTTATTATAACTTTAAAGTTAGTATCCCCTGCCAGAAAGCCTTTAAGGATAATTACAATAATGATGTCAGCCGCTTTTTTGACAGCTGCTTTATAAAAATCATTGTCTTCCCATTTATGTGCTGTTATACCTATTAGAAAATATGGAGAGACATAATTTCATTTTGATATTTCCCTGTATGAATAGAAAATCATTCTGGAAGATTCCCTGCAAGTCATTCTTCTAGGCCCTTTCCAGGGATTCAGAAACACTGTAATAGCCTCATTAAGACCTGGTGGTGCTCTTCTTACTTAGGAAGACCTGGTCAAATCCTGTTCTTCATATGACAGCCTTCCATTACTTAACCTAACTCTTTGTTGCTTTAGTGGTTAAAACTGGGATAATAGTCTAATAGTAGTAATGAACTTATATGAAGATTGAGATTTTTTTATAATCTGTAGTAAGATAGTGTCTGGAAATAAATGTGAGTTATTAACAGTAAAAATAAACAGTATATACATTCAAGGAATCTATGGTCTTTTAGGGAAGATATGATCTAGAGAATTATAACAGAGGGTGGAAAGTGATATGATAGGTCTGTGATGAGTTGTAGAGCTGAAGTTGTACGGGGGTTCTTCACAGCAGACGTTATTTTTAAATGAAGACAATTGGATAATCATTGGTAAAGAGGTGAACATGATTTTGGACACATAGTAGACCCTAAATTGTTATTGAATGAATGCACACTGAAAGATTGTCAGATACAGGAAGAGAAGAGAAAACAGGTAATTTTCTGAGCAGAGAGAAAAATATGAACAAAAGCAGAGAGAGACGAGATGTTTGTTAGGAGGTGATTCTGGTTGGGTGGTTGGTTTGTGATTCAGTTTTAACTGCCTTCACAGGGTTCATGAAGAGGGAAATGTAGAATGGAGCCAGGTTATGAAGGGTTTTTCTCATTTTAGGGGTCAAACTCAAGAGTTTGTGTTTTCTTTGCTAGGTGAAAGAAGTCACTGAAGGGTTTTGAATGGCACATGATAGCTACACTTAAAGGTGCATCCAGCACAGAGTTTTTCTCTTCCTACCTCTCAATGGTGCATTAGGAGTTTGGCAAGTTTGTGTTGAAATTACTTTTGTCACTGAAGTAATTAAACATAGCCTCAGAGCCTGACTTGGGACATTGGGGAAGCAAACTATGTCATATGGAAGCTGCTCTGGTTGAAGATGAGGGTAGATTTTGTCATCTCATCCCCTTCATTAGTCCTGTGACCTCAAAACACGTACTTTGTTTAAAGGGTTCTGTTGGAAAAAAAAATAGTTAAAAACTCAACAAGCTAGCAATATACACTTATGTTGGTTGCCTTTGGGAAGGGATTAACTGGAGAAGGTCGTTTAATTAGAGAATTTTTGCAGTAATTTTGGCAAGAAGTAAAAATGGAGAGAATCTGGTGAATGGGGGAGATATCGGTAGAGGCAAGAACTCATAAACGTGGTGACCTTCTGGATGGATGTTGAAATCTCAAAGATGACTGTGACTACCCAGTATATAGCAGCTGGTTCACCATACATTCATCATTGAACAAATGTTTGAAATTGTGTCAATTTTGACAGGTGCAAAATCAACATGCAAAAGAAGAGTCTCTTGCTGACGATCTCTTCAGGTAAAGTTTAATTTCAGTTTTCTCTTGAATCTTTGAGATGTATATAAAATACTGTTTTCGTGGAGATTAAATATTCATTTCTTCTGCCTTTAGAAGTAGACATTTAGTGCCTTCACCTAAAGAATGTTTTGTTTTTAATGTATGTATTTTTTTTTTTTTTTATTTTGAGCACCTCTCAATTAGGTTTGCTGGATATTTCTTTGAGGTTTGAGGTTGATTCAGTTGAACCTGTATCACAGTATATTTAAAATTTCTATGGGGGCATTCATGCAAAAGAAGAGTCCTGCACTGGTGAATTTGGCTGGTACATTTGTGAGATTTCCAGCTCTGAGTAGAATTATGAATGAGTGGGTTTTGAGGTAAGACAAATAAAATACCAGAGCATTTGTTTAGTTTTAGTTGGCACAAGCATAAAAACAAGAGGCTGGATTAGAGTTTCAAATCAGGTTTTTGTGGGAGGGTTAGAGGCTTTATAATGGGCGATTATAATTTAATTCTGACTTAACACATTTTTAGCATTCCTGCCGGCCCAAAACCTTATAATAATTAGCTCTCAAATACTAACAAATAGTATAAAATAAAATTACTTTACCTACTTCTAGGTAGATGCTGGCTAGGGGAGAATAACATTTTCCCAAATTTACTTAAAGGCAGAACCGAGAAGTACTTTGAGTCTGTTTTGCAGCTAATTTGATTCTTTAATTTTATTATTGACAGTATATATCATTGGTGGAAATGGTGACATACAGTGCTGATTTTTCTTAAGGAAAAAGGAAAATATCTGGTTACTGGCTAAATTTGTTGAATTACTGTAGGAGAACATTTTATAAATAAGTCTCTTTTTGACTCATTATACACTCTTACGCAGATGTTATACTGTAGTTGGGAGTTGGAGGAGTCTGAAGCCATACGGGCAAAGGTGGAAACATTTATTTTTAAACTGTTTTGATTAATTAATGCTTTTACGGGACATTTTGTTATTGTTGATGTTTTATTTTTACCAAATATTCATCTAGCCAACATCAAAATGATAAAGTAAAAATATCAGTGCTTAATATCTGATCCTAAGGATAAAATTGGCATTCTCATTGTTTGCCAAAGTGTGACTATATTTTGAAAGCCCTTTAACTTTAAAAGTGAAAGATATACCATCATTTATCTAATTCTTTAACTTTATTTCTTTCTTTACAGATACAATCCTAATGTAAGAAGGAGAAGATAACTGAGGATTTTATAAAGAAGCCACAGAACAACATTTCCCATCAAGCATTTATGTCCTTTTCCTCTGGGATAAATGAATAAAGTATACAGAAGAGATTTAAATTACAAATGTTTTTGGCCTAAATTTGTTGAATAAAATGCATAAAACTCCATTTCTTTTGTGTGTGACAGTATTATTCCGTTTTCAGTCTTTGTCATCTCATCTCTTATGGCAATTTTTTTATTTTTAAATGTGGATTTTTACTTATTGAGTACTTAATATAGTTGCAATTCAAAATGCTAAAACTACAAAAGGATAAGAAATTAAAGTCCCTAGCTATTTGATTCCCCTAAAAAAAATAAAATTCCATGGTCCTTGTTTCTTATGAGTCTTTCTGGAGATTTTTGCTTCCTATTAAAATTTCTATGCATATAATTTTTCAATAATTTCCTACAAAAATGAGAACATATACAGTATTCTGCATCTTGCTGACTAGATTGGAAGATTATACACTTGGAGCATACCTTTCCCCACATTATACTGTAGCCTTCCTTGAGCTGAAGTGACCCAAATGAAAAGGATTTCTGTGATGAAGATGTCACCCACATACCATTCTAGTACTAGAAAAGACAATATAGAAGATTTCTTCAAGCTTGAGGGTAGATCTTACTAGAATGAGAAGACTTATTTGGTGATCTTATTGAGCTGGGTGTACCTGTGTTTTGAGCTTCATAGAGCCCTGGTTTTCCTATCTGGAGAGCAGAAGAGAGAGGACTGTCTTCGTGTTAAAGGGAGACAGAAAAAAATGTCTTTATTTCAAATTTTGTAATAAAGACAATTTTGACTATACATTAGAATTATAGTAGTCTTGGGGTGCCTGTGTGGCTCATTTGGTTAAGTGTCTGACTCTTGGTTTGGGTTCAGGTCATGGTTTGTGGATTCACGCTCTGTATTGGGTCAGTGCTGCTGGTGCAGAGCCTGCTTAGGATTCTCTGTCCCTCTCTTACCCTCTCCTGCTCCCCCTGATCTCAAAACTAAAAAAATAAATGTATGTACTATTGCTAGATCCTCATGGAAGATTATTGATATTGACCACATTTTCATGTATTTGTTGGCCATTTGCATGTATTCTTTGAACAAAGGTCTATTCAGCTCCTCTGCTTTTTATTTATTTGCTCAGGCATTCCCTTTTTTTTATTTTTATTTTATTTTTTTTTACAAATAGTTTATTGTCAAATTGGTTTCCATATAACACCCAATGCTCATCCCCACAAGTGCCCCCCTCCATGCTCTTCTCCCCCCTCCCCCCCACATCCGTCAGTTCTCAGCATTCAAGAGTCTCTCATGGACTCTTGAATGCTGACAAAAACTGAGGACTGATGGATGTGGGGGGGAGGGAGGGATGGGCATGGAGGAGGGCACTTGTGGGGATGAGCACTGGGTGTTATGTGGAAACCAATTTGACAATAAACTATTTGTAAAAAAAAATAAAATAAAAANCCCTTCTCCCCTATGGTCCCTCCATTAAGTTCCTCTGCTTGTTTTTAAAATTGGATTGTTTGCTTTTTGCTGTTGAGTTGGAGTTCTTTATATATTTTGGTTATTAACCTCTTATCAGATACATGATTTGTATATATTTTCTCCCATTCCATAGGCTGCCTTTGTGTTTGTTTGGTTTTTTTTTTAGGCTGCCTTTATATTTGGTTGATGGCTGCTTTTGAGGTGTAGAAGCTCTTTAATTTGATGTAGTTGCACTTGTTTTTTATTTTGTTGATTTTGCTTTTGGTATCAAATCCAAAAATAATCATTGTCATGATTAATACAAAGAAACTTATTAACTCCTTTGTTTTCTTCTAGGAGTTTCATGGCTTCAGACCTTACATTTAAGTCTATAATCCATTTTTAGTTGATTTTTGTATATGGGGCAAGATAGTCCAGTTTCATTCCTATGTGTGTGGGGGCTGTTCAGTTTTCCTACAATCATTTTGGAGAGACTATCTTTTCCCTGTTATATACTCATGGATCCTTTGTCAAAAATTGAGCACAAATGCATTTATTTCTGGGTTCTCTATAATTTTTGATCTATGTGTCTTTATGCCAATAGCAAATAATTTTTATTAATACAGCTTTGTAATATACTTTGGAATCAGGAAATATGCCTCCAACTTTGTTCTCTCTCAAGACTGCTTTGGCTCTGAAGAGTTTTAGTATGGGTCCAGCTTTATTCTTTCACGTCTGACTATCCAATTATTCCAGCACAATTTTTTGAAGAGACCCTTCTCCATTGAGTGTTCTTGGCTCCCTTAGCAAATATTAGTTGGCCATACATACTTGAGTTTATTTTTGGGCTCTTGATTCTGTATTTGTCTTGATGTATTTGTTTTTATACCAGTACCATACTGTTGTGCCGGAGACCGAAACTGCACAGGTCATCCCTGATGGCAAGGCCCAGGGAAACACCTGTGTGAAAGGACTGCGCAGATCATCCCTGATGGCAAGGCCCAGGGAAGAGACTGCAGTGCAGTCAGAAGAACCCCCAGAAGAATTCTTCTCTACTTTGTACTTTTTACTCTCACTTCTGCTGTTAGTCTATTCTAGGGTTAATATGAAACCAGAATCGCCCAAAGTTCCCCCCTTCCTCCAAAATGGAATGTACCTAAATATCATGTCCGCCCCCTCAATCAGATGTTGTCTAATAAATATTGTAGCAATTATCAAAATTGGAGACAGTCCAGTATGCATTGGGTCTATAAGAGACATAGAATTCATTTTCCTTGTAGGAGTCTAATTGCCAGTACGAATACATATGCCATAAGCAAAGACAAAAACAAGACTTAATAGTTTTGGAGGGCTTTCTCAAAAAAGTGTTAGAGAAAAATTTGCCTGCTGACCTCAAGCCTGTAAGGCAACTTATGGATTGTTCTGGCCAAAGAATGAGATTGGTAAATGCAGAGACCAAATTCTAGTTTATCCACGTAAAAATGTCCATACGTCATCTATGATAAATGTTGACATTGTTCTTTCTTAGGAGTTGTGAGAGTCTTGTTACCTACACCACGGGTACAAGTATATCCTATTTTTGCATGCCCACTGAATTTAAACAAAGGACATTGTGATCTCATGTATTCTAGCAATATACTTCACTTATCCTTAGATACTCTGTCATATGTAATAAAAAATATATAAAACTTCTTATGACTACCTGGTTAAATTTTATTGGTTGAAGTAGAAATTATGTACCGTGAAATCACTGTTGCCAAGAAAACTTAAAAATGTTAATTCCTATGACTGTACTCAAAAAATATAAATTGTTTAAGCATGATTGTTTGAATTTGCTATATAAAAACCCTAAGCTGAAAAATAAATTTGAGCAGTCCACCTGAAGAGGCTGGCTCTGTGTCTTCTTTTGCCGACGCCAACCATCACTCTCCGGGCCAACCCTGGCTTGCAGAGGCTGGTCCCCTGCACTGCTGTGCTAACTATAGCTTTATACTGTAGCTTGAAATAAGGAATTGTGATGCCTACTGTTTAGCTCTTTCTAAGGAATTTTTGGGCTATTTGGGGTCTTTTGTGGTTCCATATAAATTGTAGCAGTGCTTTTTCTACTGTAAATATACCATTGGAATCTTAATAGGAATTGCATTGAATCTGTAGATGCCTTTTAGTAGTATTAACATTTTTAACGATATTAATTATTCAGTCCATAAACTTTTCTATTTGTATCTTCAGTTTCTGTCTTCAGTGTTTTGTAGTTTTCAGAGTAGAGATCTTTTACCTCCTTAATGTTGTTCCTAAGTATTTTTGGTGCCATTTCAAATGGGATCTACTTATTTTTCAGAAAAATTTGTGTTAACTGTATAGAAATGCTACTGATTTTGTAAGTTAATTTTGTTTTGTATCCTGTAATTTTTCTGAATTTGTTGATTAAATATAAGTTTTTTGGTTGAGTCTTTAGTATTTTTTAATAAAGTCATGTTTCTGCAAATGGAGACAATTTTGCTTCTTCTTTCCCAATTGTGAAACCTTTTCATTTCTTTTTCTTGCCTGATTGCTCTAGCTAGCATTTCTTTTTTTTTTTTTTTTTTTTTTTTTTTTTTTTTTT